ATAGGTCGTTTCTTAATTATGTTAAATTGCACTGTACTTTCTTAAATATAGACTTTTTGAAAGATATAAGCTCATCCCGATGTTTCACTTATCAAGAGCTTTCATTTGAGTACCCACATCAATTTTTCATATATTTATATATATTATATATATATATGTATATATGAAAAATATATAAAAAATGCATGTGGGTATTCAAATGAAAGGTCTTGATGAGTCAAACATCGGGGTGGGCTTATGTATTTAAAAATATCAATAGTTCACTAGATAAAAGGTCATTTCTTAATTATGTATCTAGAGATAGAGCATTTTTATATGCCACAAAATTTTTGCTTATTCTCTTAATAATATAGATAATTTTTGAATTATAAATTTTAATATAATTGGTTTTTTGAGAACATTTTATTTTTTTTATTAGAATAAAATTGCAAGTGTCAAACAATTAGGTCAGTGTCAATAACTAGGTCTTTTACCTTATTAGTTTATAAATTTTTATGCGAAAAATGGACTGATAAAATTTCATAAAATTTTATGAAATCTTGAAATTACATGAAGATATATAAAATTTAATACCAACAATATAACCTTTAGGGTTTTAATTATAATTTTATAATATTTCATAAAATTTTTAATGAAAAAATTTTTTCCCAGAGCTTCAACATATAGAATTGATTTATTCAAATTTCGTATGATAAATCTTCATAAAATAAATACCCTTGCAGCTCTGTTTATAATTTATTAAGGAGAAGGAAAATGGTCAATAAACATGTTATATAATTTATTAATTTATTTTTTTTTTTTTTTTTTATTAGAAATAATGTACAATTTGTCTAATTTTCATTATTTATCATGGAAGCTATTAGACTATTTTGACTTTTGCACAGGAATAAAATTCTCCGTGGCATTTACATATATAATTTATAATTAATTAGTTTTATTTATTTATTTGTTATATTTAATTAATTAATTAATTATTTATATATATATTTATTATTAAATAATCTATTATTAGACAAGTCCTCCATTGACTAGAGATAGAAAAACACGATGAAAAAGTATGTAAACTTTTCCATAACAAGGAAGATAGTAAAACGAAGACCGTCACCATTAATTACTATCAATGATTCCCAAACACGCTTTTAATTATTAATTTATAAACTAATTAAGCACCGTTGTGAGTACGAGACAATAAAGAGTAAAAGCGTGTGAAAGATAACAAAATAATATAATAACTCTAATTAGTCACTGGAGGAAATGCGTTCCGAAATACACTGCCGACCAGTGAGGACGAAGTGGTCGGGAATGCATTCCTCTAAATTCCTATTATTATTATATTTATATTTATAATTATAATTATCATTATTTATATTTATATTTATATTTATATTTATAATTATTTATATTCATATTTATATTTATATTAAAGTTGTTCGTATAAAAACTTTTCTCTGTATTAAATACTATCTACTTATGAAAGATGATAGTCAGGCGAGGGTTCAGCAACGGATTCCGTTGTAAAAAGTGGATTAGGAAATTCCGGAGGATGTGGCAGTGGACCGGCAGTCTTTGGCTGACGTCTGTAGGCCATCAGCCAGCAGGATACGGCTATGGCCACGGCTACTAGAGCAAGTAGTGCTGTTATTACTAGGGACACTATGAAGCCCGTCGTTGATACACAAATATCTTCAGCTCGCTGGGCTGCTGGGACTGAAATTAAAATTTTTTTTATTAGTTTTTTTTTATGGTTAGTGATAATAATTAATAAAATTAATTATACCTTATTAAAAAAAAAAAAAAAAAAAAAAAATTAAAAACGATTTAATCCATGCAAAATGTATATCTATATATTTGTTAAGTTGAATCGTTTTTAATTGCTTTGAGCCATTTTGAATCGTTTTGAATATTTTTTTTTTTTTTTTTTAATAAGGGATGATACTAAAATTGAGAGACACTTTATAATTTTTTTAATTAATTAATGATAGGAAGAAAAATTTATTTAAATAATATCATCTTTTAAAGCTCCAAAAAAATATAAATGCAATTTTTTTGACCTAATTTATTTTTAAAAAAGAATAAAAAAAATTTCAAGTGTCTGCTAAAGTGAATGTCATCATTAATTATTTAAAATTTGAATAATAAAAGCCATTTGAGTAAAAATTTGAATAATTAATTTTCTAATTGTTTCTTTACTTGAAAATTATTTTAAAAATTAAATGCGACACTAAAGTTAGCAGTCATTTGACCATTTTTTAATTTTTTTTAACAAAAAAATTTGATTTGAAAAAAATTTTTTTCTTAAAATTGCATTTTTAATTTCTTCATATCAATTTTTATTTATCATTTTGTTTTTTTATAATTTATTTGTAACGAAAATTCAAAAATTCTTAAAATTAATGATACTGAAATTAATAAACATCTAATTTTTGTTTTTATTTTTATAATAACTAAATAATTATGAAAAAATTTTAATAAAAAAATGTCACATCTAAAAATGATAAAAAATTGAGAATTTTTTTTTTATAATTGATTTTTAATTAAAATAAAACATAAAATGTCAAATGTCTTCTAATTTCAGTATCATTAAAATTATCAAACTTCTGCAAAATTAATTTTTATCAAATAAATTATTAAAAAAAGAATTCTACATGAAAAAAAATAAAAAATAAGTGAAATTTTTTAAGAATGTATTTTTGAGATAATAATTAATTTTTTTTTAATCTGTCTAATCATTAAAAAATCAAGTGTTATCAATTCATTTTCACAAACTTCATTTCTTCAAACAAAATGAAGGTTATGTCAGTCATTAAAAATTTATTTAAAATTCTTTAAACAGCTTATATTATATTTAATAATTGAAAATACTTACATTCAGCAGGATCAGCAGTATATCTCTCCTCTCGCCTTTCAACAGTACGTATCAGATTGGATTCTATCGTAATTTCTTCCCTGAGTTGGCCATCAAAGCCTTCAGTAACAGACAAAGCTGTGTCGTTATAATCATTACCAATTTCACGTTTCTTACGTCCAAACGCATTGTATCCTCGACAGTTAACCTAAAAATCAAAAATAAACATTACAAACAACTCTTCACATCAACAATAAGTCCAGAGTCCAGATACTGAAGTTTACTGACAAAAATTTTTTAATAATTCTATATCAATGAAATTATTATAAAAAAAAATTTAATTAAAAAATTCCACATGTGAAAATTAGAAAAAATTATTAGTGGAAATTTTTTAAAGCATTTTTTTTATTATAATTGATCTTTTGATCTTCTAAATTAAAATACATGAAAGTCTAGAAGTTAGTCAAAGGTCAAAACTCGCAAAAAACGGGCCACGATTCCTTATTGGTTGAAATTACGGCGCGCTATTTGAATTTCTAGTTTGTTTTAAAAACAAAAAAAATTGACTGTTGTCAGCTAACTTCAGTATGATCAATAAATTACAAACAAAAAAACTTACAGGCTGACATCTACCGAAGCAGACTCTAATGTTACATTGGAATCTGATGTTATCACTGCTCGGGAATTTGAAAGCATTGAAGCTGGCCATAAGAGTCTGACTCTCATGGTCCTGTTCCCACTCTCCAAATATCGTAGGATCAGTAGCGCAGCCATTTTCATCCGTGACAATATATTCATTCTCCTGATTGTCTTCCATAGTCTTCGCGACGCAGTTTCTTGCAAACCCGCCATAGATCGACGAAGGCTGAACTTCAACCGACAGCATAAGATTATCCCCAATTTCAGCGGACTGGATCTCGCTGCCATGTTGAGTAACAATCTTCATAAGACAAGTCGGAGGTGGCCCGGTATTAGCGATGGTTCCAGCAGTAGTAAGCATGGAGACATTGAACCCTAAAGTAACATTCTGTTCTCCAGTCTGGTAGATACACTTAACATGGTAAGCCTGAGCCTTGTAGGTCACCAGCTTAGGATGTTTCTGGATGACAAGCACGAAGCTGGCTTCACCATTAACATGAACCAGCCCGCAGTTTCCAAACTTGACCTTGAAGGTCTCCATCTGGGTGTTGTCATGCTTGGGTATGGACAAGATCTTCCTGCACTGCTCTTCTTTGCTGCGACCTCTGACGTACAACACACCTTCGAAGCCTTCCGACTGAACCCGAATCTGAACCTGGACTCCGTCTGAAAGACACTGAGCGTCCATGTCAGGTTGCGGGAAATCAGTCCTGAAATTAGTCTTGGGAGGCTCGCAGAGTGTGTAACCATTCCCGGTGTAGCCCTTGATGCAGGTGCAAACGCTGCGGTGTCTTACCGCAGTGCAAGTTGCGTTCTGGGTGCAGTTGAACGGCTGACAAGGATCATCACAGGTCTTGGAGATCTTGTTGCAGTACCTGTTATCAGCACAGTCATCATCAATCAAGCACTGGACTATCGGAGAGCAGTTACCATCATGGTCAAGCCGCCATCCATGTTCCGTAGAGCAGATACAGTTTCCATGATCATCAACAATGAACCCGCGCTCCAGCGCGCACTCGCACCTTCCATCAGGAGTGATCTTGTAGCCTTGATCCGTAAGACAAGGAGCGCAAATATCTTGGACGTTCTTGGCAGTGCCAGGTGGGCAGACACAATTGCCATCCAGGTCCTTGATCTGACCCTTCTCTACAGCGCAAACACGCGTAGGGTCGCAACGCACTACTGCATTGCCTCTGTACCCTGGAACGCACTCGCAGATCATTGTTCTAACAGGTTTGGTGTCCAGGACAGTACACTCTGCGTTGACTCCGCAGGGTTCTATCTTGGTGCAAGGGTTGATGCATTCTCCGTCGAAGCAGGCAGTTTGGGAAGGACACTCATCATCCTGCTTACATTGGACGTTGATCTTATAACAGCCTCCTTCAACACTTCCCGCGTATCCTGGAGGACAGGAACACTCAACGACGTGGTTGTAAACGCTGCATTGAGTTTCCTCAGCGCAGGGATTCTTGGTGCAAGGGTTCTCGCAGCGGTTGTTGATGCAAGCTTTGTTGGTGGGACAGTCTGAGTTGCTTCGGCAACCGAGGAGGCTGCAAGCTACGCGGGGATTTCCTGCGTAGCCTGGAGGACACTCGCAGACGGCTTGGTGGTCGATGCCGTAGCACTCAGCGCCTTTAGCGCAGACTGACAGCAGAGGAGAGCAAGCTGGAACGCAGGTGTTCTGGACGCAAGTGTGGGTTCCAGCGCACTGGCTGTCTGAGCGACACCCAATGATAGGAACGCAGTCGACGTCAGGGTTGCCGTCGTAGCCGGTGATGCAGGAGCAGATTGGCTTGTGGTCGATGACGTTGCAGATGGCGTTACTGCCACAAGCGCAAGGGTCTTTGCAGATTGCGTTTACGCAAGCTTTGTTAGAAGCGCACTCGCTGTCTCTGGTGCAGCCGATTTGGACGATTGGTGTTGTGGGTTGACAAGTTCCGCTTCCGCTGCTGATGTATCCGGGAGGACAAACGCAAACCATGGTCCTGACAGGTAAAGTTGCAAGGACTCGGCACTCTGATGGACTGAGACATGGTTCGATTACTGAGCAAGGGTTCTGGCATTTCTGGTTGAAGCACGCTGATAGTGAAGGACAATCTCCGTCGACTCGGCACTCAGGTTCGATTTCTGGGCGACAATCTACCAGAGGATTGCCCTCGTAGCCGGAAGGACACCTACAAGTTGGTAGGTGTCCTCTGACGTGACACTCTGCGCGGGTTGAGCAAGGATTGGCGTGGAGACACGGGTCAGTACATTGTTTGTTGACACACGCCAGGTCACTTGGACAATCTCCATTGCTGTAGCAGCCAATTACATGGCACTTGTCTCTTGGATTTCCTATGTAGCCATCACGGCAACGACACTCTGCGATGTGGTTGTTAGGGAAGCACTCGGCATTAACTCCGCAATTTTCAGAAGAGAACAGACAAGGATTAACGCAGTTGTTGTTGATGCAAGACTTGTCTGGCATGCACTCAGAGTCAGTTTGACACTCCACTGAGTAGCAAGCGACCTCTGGGTTACCCTGGTAGCCTTGTTCGCAAGAGCAGATTGGTTTGTGATTGCGAACAAAGCAGTTGGCGTTGCGACCGCAGTTGCAGGGGTCTCTGCACCTGCGATTGACGCAGGCTTCCTGGTCAGCGCACTCGGAGTCAGATGAACAAGCGCCGACGAGCGTGATTGGTATTTGTCGGCAAACTCCGTCCGGGTCTGTTACCCACCCGTCTGGACAAGTGCAAACCATGGTTCTAACCGGAACAGTGTCCAAGACTCCGCACCTGGCGTTTTCGAGGCAAGGTCTGATGACATGGCAAGGGTTTACGCAGGTTTCTTTGATGCAAGCGAGCTTGCTGGGACAGTCGACGTCCTTGCGACACTCTGGTTCCTCAACGCCTACTGGTAGACGTCTTTCACAGTAGGAGAACGGATCACCAACTGGGAAACTTTCGGGACATCTGCAAGATGGCGTGTGTGTTCTAACAAAGCAGATGGCATTGGAAGCGCAGGGAGAACGATCGACGCAAGGATCTACGCAGCGTTTGTTCTCGCAGACGAGATTCTGAGGGCACTCATGGTTACTAGTGCACTCAGCGCGCTCGCAAAGCACTTCTGGGTTCCCGAAGTAACCTGGACCGCAACGACAAGCACTGCGGTGGTTCTTTCCGTAGCACTCCGCGTTGATGACGCACTCATTTTCCAAGAGACAAGGGTTCACGCATCTTCCAGTGTGGCACGCTTCTTCATAAGGACAATCTTTGTCTGTTTCACACTCCAATTTCGTGCATCCCAGCTGGGGATTGCCAGAGTATCCTGGATGACAAACGCATGATGGGTAGTGATTTGCGACGACGCAGTTGGAGTTGGGTCCGCAGTTGCAAGGATTGATGCACCGTCCGTTGACGCAAGCTTCTGTACCTGCGCACTCACCGTTGGAAAGACATCCTAGGATTATTGCTGGTGGAATGCATTCTATTCTTGGATCTCCCATGTAGTTGATAGGACACTTGCAAATCGGGTTGTGATCGTCGACATGGCAAAGAGAGTTCCTGCCACAAGGATCACCAGCCACGCAAGGATTCACGCACTTGAGGTTGATGCATTGTCGGTCATTGGCGCACTCGCTGTTGCTGTAACACTCTGGTAGTGGTGGAGGCAGAGGATTTCTTGGTTTAGAAGAACACTCAATGTAAGGATTGCCGGTGAAGTCAGCAGCGCAGACACAAACTCCGCTGTGCGACGTAGATTTGCATTGCGCGTTGATTCCACAGCGAGTTGTCAAGCAAGCTTCCACGCAGTTTCCATGTAAGCAGACTTCATGGTTGCTGCATTCCTCGTCCACATGACATTGGACGTCCTTCCAGACAATCTTCTGACACTTTCCGTTTGCGTCGGTGTAAGTGTCCGGTGGACAAACGCAGATCATAGTTCTGAGCGGAGCTGTGTTCAGCACGCGACATTGCTGTTCTGAAGTGCACATATCTGAAAGCACGCAAGGATCTTGACAACGCGTGTTTATGCAAGCTAGCAATGGAGGACACTCTGAGTCAGCACGACACTCTGATTGATGCTCGGTGATGCATTCGACGTAAGGATTGCCAGTGGTACCCGGTGCGCAGACGCACTTGGGTTGATGGTTCCTGGCAATGCAGGTGGCTGTTTCTGCGCAGGTTTCGTCGTCACAAGCGGGTCTGCAGACTCTGTTCAACCTGTCACAAGTCTGGTCATCAGGACAGTCTTCGTTATAGTGACAGATCGCGGATATACATGCGATACGCGCGTCTCCTTGAGTTCCTTGAGGACAAGTGCAGTGCGCTCGGTGGTCAGCGACAGTGCACTCGGCTCCTCGACCACACATGACGTCGCCATTACACGGGTTGGTACAGAAGCCCTTCTTACAGGTCTTGTCGTAAGGACAGTCGTTGTCTACCCGACATTCAGGAAGGAAGCACTGGTTCTGCGGGTCTCCGGCGTAACCTTGAGGACAGTGACAAGTTGGATGATGTCCTATCGCTATGCAGTCAGCGTTGAGCCCACACCTATCGCCAGAGCAAGGGTTCTGGCATTGTTGGTTGATGCAAGCAAGATTGTAGGAACAATCAGAATTGCTGGTACACTCAGGAAGTGTTAGAGTGTGGCTGTGGCAGCCTACGAAAGGATCTCCGGTGGTTCCAGCAGGGCAGACGCAGATATGTTGATGGTTGTCCACACGGCATTCAGCAGATTTCGAGCAAGGATTGATGGTGCAAGGATTAACGCAATGGCTGTTGATGCACGCCATGATTGAGTTGCACTCGCTGTTGGACCGACAGATCTCCTCGACTTGATGAGCTACTGGTGCGCAAGCGACGGTAGCGTCGCCGATGAAGTTAGGAGCGCATTCGCAAATCATCGTTCTGACTGGCAAAGTGTCGACGACCGTACACTTGGCATTGGTGACACAAGGCTGCGTTTCTCTGCAAGGATCCTTGCAGGAGCCGCTGAAGCAGGCGAGCTTGCTTGGACAGTCGGCGTCAGTCGTACACTCTGGCAGTTCCACTGGATCTCTTTGACAGTTTCTTTGGGCATCTCCAATAAATCCTGGAGGACAGCGACACACTGGTCGGTGGTTGATCACTTGACACTGCGCACTTGCTGGGCAGAATCCAGAACAAGGGTCCGTGCATTTGCTGTTGTTACACGCCAAGAAGTTCGGGCAGTCTGGGTCTTGTAGACACTCGGTACGCTCGCAATGACGGTTTGGATCTCCTTTATAACCGTCCAGGCAAACGCATTGAGGCTTGTGGTATCTATCAGAACGGCAAATTGCATTTGTCCCACATTGCATCAACGAGCAGGTGTCAGTACACTGATCATTGACGCAGGATTGACTTACTGGACAATCATGGTCACTGCGACAGCCAATTTCTCTGCAGAATTGTTGAGGGTTTCCGGTGGTTCCTTCATTGCAGACGCAAACGGCGCGATGGAGCAGCACTTGGCATCTGCTGTTGTATCCACAAGATCCTAGCAAACATGGATCTACGCATCTTTGTTCCCAGCAAGTCTTATCGTTGGTACACTCGGAGTTTCTTGTACATTCAGGTTTTGGCACTTCAATTGCCGTAACCTTGCACTGGATCTGCGGGTCACCTGTGAATCCAGCAGGACAAGAGCAGATTGGGTTGTGGTTGATGGTCTGGCAGAGTGAGTTGACTCCACAAACACCTACGCAAGGATCGCGACATCTCATAGAGAAACAAGCGCGGTCGCGTGGACAGTCTGAGTTGATGACACATTCCGGGTATACGCAAAAAGCGATGTTGTTACGAACCCTACATTCCCCGTTGATGTTGCAAGGCGACGGGTTGCATGGGTCTGGTTCTTCTTTAGCGAAACACTCGACGAACGGATTGCCCATCAACGGAACAGGACAGCTGCAAACTGGACTATGGTTGATGGCACGACAGACAGCTCCAGCTCCGCAGACTCCACGAGCGCATGGATCAACGCACCTGTTGTTCTCGCAAGCTTTGTCTCCGGAACAGTCTGAGCTTAATACACACTCTGGATGACAACCTGCTAAGCTCGAAGGTTCGCCTTGCAATCCCGGGAGACATTTGCAGATTACACGTTGCCCGACGTTCTCACAGATGGTGTTTGGTCCGCAGGGCGACGGGTTGCATGGGTCTGATACTTTGTTCGTTGGTGGAGTTTGACAGAGTGTGAACGCGTCACCTACTGTTGGAAGAGGACACGAGCAGACTGGTACGTGATTGGAGACCGTGCAAACAGCTCCTACGCCGCAAGTTCCTGGACAAGGATCCTGACACTTGGTTCTTATGCAAGCAAGGGCGTTGGAACAGTCTGTGTTGACCAAACACTCTGGATGACAAGCTTCGTAGGGATTTCCTCGGTAGTCTGGCCAGCATTCGCAGACCGCTGTGTTGTAACGCTCCCGGCAGTACGCGTTCGCTCCGCATGGTGATGGATTGCAAGGTCTGGCTGGTACTGGTGGATCTGGTTGAGCTGCAAAATGGAAAAACCGATTAGTTTGCTGTTGGAAACTTTGTTCTATTAAATAAGCTCTATTGCTATGGACATATGGACATATCTACAAATATATATAAGATTTCATGCAATTCTTGGATATTTACAAGCAATTTATCTACAAATATACAACAAAGCTGTTGACAAAAAATCAAATCAGATTAATTAGCACAGTAAATAAAATCCTGTAAAAAATTCTTACTGGTAATCAATGAGCATAGGGTGAAAGGATCACCAGTGAATCCTTGCTGACAAGTGCAAGAGGGTTGATGTCTAGCAACCTGGCAGAGGGCATTGATGCCACAGGAGCCAGGACAAGGGTCTCTGCATCTCTGGTTGATGCAGGCTAACTGGGTAGGGCATTCACTGTTGACCCGGCATTCAGGACGGCAGTTTGGTGGCGAGCCAACGAAATTGGGTAGGCAACTGCAGGAGGGCGAGTTCTTAGAAACAGTGCACTGGGCGTTGGATCCGCAGGGCGAGGGGCTGCACGGGTTGCTCTCTGGTTCAACGGGTTCTTCTACGGGAAACAAAGTTAGCTTAGCTCACAGGACATTTCCTAATAATTTTATCAGGCTTGGGACTTACTCATAAGAGAACAGTGGACGAATGGATCTCCAGAGTATCTCTGCGGACAACTGCAGATAGGGTTGTGGTTTCTGGTGACGCAGAGGGCACTTTGCCCGCAGGATCCTGGGCAAGGGTCTTGGCAGCGTTGGTTGATGCAAGCGCGACTTTGTTCGCAGTCGGAGCTTACAACGCACTCGGGCCGACAACTTGGAGGGTTGCCAAAGAATCCGGGAAGGCATGAGCATGATACTTGATCTCCGAAACGCTTACAGACACTATTAGGGCCACACGGTGAAGGTTCGCATGGATTACTCGTTGGTCCTAGGGTCAATAATCATTTGCATTCAAGAGTTGTTTAAATTTCTAGGTTTAGGTTTAGGTTTGATCTTTTGGGAAAACTTACGTTGAACAGGTTGGCAAAGGCTGAAAGGATCGCCTTCGTAATTGGCGAGACAACTACACATTGGGATGTGATTAACGACATTGCATTCTGCATTACGACCGCAGATTCCAGGACAAGGATCAACGCACTTATTATTACTACATGCTTTGTTGAACTGACAGTCTGAGTTTTGCACGCACTCAGGTCGGCAACCAAAGTAGGGATCTCCGTGGTACTGAGGTAGACAAGTGCATACACCATTTCGGCAAAGACTGTTAGCACCACAAGGTGAAGGGTCGCATGGGTCGTTAGGAGCTGGTGGTTCCGCTGTAAGAACATTCCATTATTAATGATTGAAGGGCTAATGAATTAGGTCCTGAGCTGGGTTAGGACTTACGTGGTGATTGCTGTACGTTACAACTGGTGAATGGATCTCCAGTGTAACTTACTGGACAGGTGCAAATTGGTGTGTGGTTAACAACAGAACATTGCGCGCGAGCACCACAAGATCCAGGACAAGGATCTTGGCACTTTTCTCTAATACAAGCTTGGTCTCGGTTACAGTCGGTATTTATCGAGCACTCTGGTCGACAATTTGGCGGGGAACCGATGTAGTTCTGGAGACATGAGCAAGCTGGGTAACCTCCATTGTCTTGGCACATTGAGAATGGGCCACAAGGTGATGGGACGCACGGGCTTATTGGTCTACTTGGTTCTGTGAATTCTAAAAATTGTGATTAGTCAGCTAAAGTTTTATTCTAGAGTTTGGAAGGCTGCTAGAAGGGAACTTACGTGGAATATTAAAGCATTTAACGAAAGGATCACCGGTTTGACCAGGTCTGCAACTGCAGATAGGGCTGTGGTTCCTTGTTTCACATCTGGCATCAACACCACAAACGCCTGGACAAGGATCGCTGCATTTCTGGTTGATGCACGCGAGACTTGACGAGCACTCGGTGCTAGAAACGCATTCAGGACGGCATCCAGGTGGGCTTCCGACGTAATTGGGAAGACATGAACATCTAGCAAAGTTATTGAGGTTTCTGCATTGGCTGTTGGGTCCACAAGGTGAAGGGTTGCAGGGGTCTGAGGCTTCTGTTGCTGTTGAGGAAACAGAATCAGTATCTAGAGGCTAAAAATGGGTGGAAAGTTATTGTGAGAAAGTTCTTACGAGTTTGTTCTGCTAGTCGGCAGTACTGGAATGGGTCACCAATGTATCCGTTTAGGCATGAGCAGGTTGGTAGATGGTTTATGACCTGGCACATGGCGTTTTGGCCACAAGTACCAGGACACGGGTTGGTACACTTAGATCTAACGCAAGCGCGGTCTGCGGAACAGTCGCTGTCGACGACACATTCGGGTCTACAGCCTTCGTAGGGATTTCCAAAGAAGTCTGGGGCACAGGAGCAGGATGCTGTGTTATAATTCTCACGGCAAATTGCATTTGCACCGCAGGGTGATGGCACACAGGGGTTTTGTTGAGTTGGAGGCAAAGTAGTTGCTGAAAATTAATCATTCAATGATCAGTGATTGTAATTTCGCGGGGTATTCATTATTTGGCTTTGGAAACTTACCAGGAATGGAGTTACATTGAGAAAATGGATCTCCGGTGAATCCGGGGACACATGAGCACATGGGAGTGTGACTAACTGTTGCGCAATTGGTGTTAGATCCACAAGATCCTGGGCAAGGGTCTTTACATTTTTGATTAATACACGCCAGATGCGAAGAACATTCGCTGTTGCTGATACACTCAGGCCTGCAGTTTGGAGGGCTACCGATGAATTCTTGGTTGCAAGAGCAGGAAGGACTGTTGTTTATAACGCGACATTGAGCGTTGGGTCCGCAAGGTGATGGCTGACAAGGATCTACCGAAGGTTGAGGATCTTTGGGCGTCTGCGAGCAACGGACAAACGGATCTCCAGTGAATCCATTAGGACAGCTGCAAACTGGGTTGTGATTGATGACCAGACACTCTGCACTGAGTCCACAGGTTCCAGGACAAGGATCAATGCACTTCTGATTGTTACAAGCACGGTTGCGAGGACAGTCTGCGCTGACGACACACTCAGGTCGGCAGGAAGGAGGCGTTCCAAGGAATCCTGGTACGCAGGTGCATACTGCAAGGTTGTTGACGGTTTGGCAGTGACTGTTGGGTCCACAAGGTGAAGGATAGCAGGGATCTTGAGTTGGTGTGTCTTCGATTGCTGAGCATTGGATAAAAGCGTTTCCAGACATGCGAACTGGGCAGCTGCACATCGGCAGGTGGTTGACGACGTTACACTCTGCGTTAACTCCACAGACTCCAGCACAAGGGTCACGACACTTCTGGTTAATGCAAGCTTGAGACCGAGAGCAGTCTTCGTTGACAACACATTCCGGTCGACAGCCGACGTAGGGGTCACCCTGGTACTCTGGAAGACAGGAACATTGTCCGTTGCGACACTGAGCGTTAGAACCACACGGCGAAGGATTGCATGGATCTTCTGGTACCGCAGGAGCTGGTGGTGGTGCTGGAGAACATCTGGTGAATGGATCTCCGGTAAAACCTTCGGGACACGTGCATACTGGTGTGTGATTGACAACTGAACACTGAGCGGAGAGTCCGCAAGATCCTGGACAAGGATCTCTGCACTTTTCTCGCATGCAAGCCTTGTCGCTTGTGCAGTCTGGGTTGATAGAACACTCTGGTCTGCAGTTTGGTGGTGATCCGATGAAGTTATTCAAGCAAGCACAGGACGGGCTGTCGCCAATCACTCTGCATAGTGAATTTGGTCCACAAGGCGACGGATTGCACGGGTCTGTTGGCTGAGTGTCAGAAACAGTCATCTGGAAGCACTGGAAGAACGGATCGCCAGTGGTTCCAGGTTGGCAGCTACAAATAGGACTATGATTAATTACTCTACATTGAGCATTTATACCGCAGGTCCCAGCACAAGGGTCCCTACACTTTTGATTTATACACGCAAGACTAGCTGCACATTCAGTGCTGATGGTACACTCAGGTCGACAGTTCGGTGGACTTCCAATGAACTGAGCTTCGCAAGAGCACATAGCCTGGCCGTTGTTGGTCTGACAGCGGCTGTTGGGTCCACATGGTGAAGGACTGCACGGATCATCGTTGCTTGGACCTATTTCTGGCGGCAATTGGTTGCAGTAACTGAACGGATTGCCAGTGAATCCTGGATTGCAAGTACAAGAAGGCAAATGCGAGACTACTTGACAGTTGGCGTTCTGACCACAAGTTCCTGGACATGGATCTTGACATTTAGATCTGATACATGCTAAGTTTGCTGGACAGTCTGTGTTGACAGTACATTCAGGTCTGCAACCTTGATACGGGTTGCCGATGTAATCCTGGATGCAACTACAAGCTCCAGCACCGTTTTGTTCTCGGCAAACGGCATTAGACCCGCAAGGTGATGGTACGCAAGGATTGCGAGATGGTTCTATTTGCTGAGGCGGCATCACGTTGCATTGAGCAAATGGATCTCCAGTGAATCCATTCATACAACTGCAAGTTGGAGTGTGATTGATGACAAAGCATTCAGCATTCTGACCACAAGATCCGCGACAAGGGTCTTGACACTTTCTGTTGATGCACGCTAGATGACTGGCGCATTCGCCGTTGCTAGCACACTCTGGACGGCAATTTGGAGGTGCCCCAAGGAATTCTGGTAAGCAAGAGCAAGAAGGTGAGTCGTTGATAACTTGACACTGAGCGTTAGCTCCACAAGGAGACGGTTGGCAAGGATTCTGGGTCTCTGGAGGTCTTTCTTGGACTGGTATGCATCTAATGAACGGATCTCCAGTAAATGAAGATGGACAGCTGCATATCGGGTTGTGATTGACGACTTGACATCGAGCTGAAACTCCACAAGATCCAGGACACGGGTCACGACATTTTTGATTGACACAAGCTTCGTTCAAAGGACACTCACTGTTGCTAACACATTCAGGTCTGCAAGCCGGTGGATGACCGATGAATCCTAACACACAAGAACATACAGCTTGGCCATTTGTCTGCTGACAACGACTGTTTGGTCCACAAGGCGATGGATCGCAAGGATTAGTAGTTGTTGGTTCTATGGCGGTAATACAATTAGCGAAAGCATTTCCTGTTGTTCCAGCTGGACAACTGCACATTGGAATATGCTGGACCACGTTGCATTCAGCGTTAGCACCACATACTCCTGGACAAGGATCAGCACATTTGTTGCGGATACAAGCTTTGTTTGATGGACAATCAGGGTTCTGGACACACTCCGGTCGACATCCGTAGTAGGGATCTCCATGATATTCTGGAAGACATGTACAAACTCCATCGCGGCAACGAGTATTCGCTCCGCAAGGTGAAGGATCGCATGGATTAGTCACTACGGTGTCTTGGACTGGTTGTTTGAAAGTACAACTGGTGAATGGATCACCCGTGAATCCTTCAGGACATGTACAAATAGGTGTGTGGTTAATCACACTGCACTGAGCGTTGATTCCACAAGAGCCAGGACATGGGTCAGTGCATTTGAATCGAAGACAAGCCAGATTGCTGACACATTCCGAGTTTATCGTACATTCTGGTCGGCAGTTTGGAGGCGAACCGATGTATGAAACTTCGCAGGAACATGAAGGAACACCTCCGACGTCACGACACATTGAGAATGGCCCACAAGGCGATGGAACGCATGGGTTAGTCGATGGTTTGCTTTCAGGAGCGACTGAAGCTTCGAAGCATCTGACAAATGGATCGCCAGTTAGTCCAGCGTTACAGCTGCAGAATGGACTGTGATTGATGACATTGCACTTGGCATTGACTCCACAAATTCCGGGACACGGATCCACGCACTTGTTGTTGATGCAAGCACGATTCAAAGCACACTCTGAGCTAACTGAGCATTCAGGACGACAATATGGTGGTGTTCCGACGAATGTCGGAGAACAGGAACAGATAGCCTGGCCGTTGTTCTCGCGACACTGGCTGTTTGGACCACATGGAGATGGTGAACATGGTCTTGTAAGTTCTGGTACTGGAGGATCTTGGACAACGCTGCAGAATCTGAATGGATCACCGCTGTATCCTGGCTGACATGTACAAGATGGTCGATGGTCTACTACCTGGCAAATCGCATTCTGTCCACAAGTTCCAGGGCATGGATTCTGACATTTAGATCTAATGCATGTACGATCTGCTGTACAGTCTGAGTTGACGATACACTCTGGTCTGCATCCTTCGTAAGGGTTGCCGATGTAATCTGGCAGACAAGAGCAAGCACCAGCTCCGTTCTGTTCCCGACAGACAGCGTTGCTACCACAGGGAGAAGGAATGCATGGAGTAGCTTGGACGTCTGGAATTGGATCCATTTGTTTGATGGTACATTGGGTAAATGGATCACCAGTGAATCCTGCCATACAGACACACATTGGGGTGTGACTTATCACTCGACATTCTGCATTAGCACCACAAGATCCAGGACATGGGTCTCGACACTTCTGGTTAATACACGCCAAGTTCGTGGAACATTCGCCGTTACTCACACACTCTGGTCTACAGTTTGGTGGAATGCCGCTGAATTCAGGCAAGCAAGAACAGGATGGTGAATTGTTGATCACTTGACAGAAAGCATTTGGACCACATGGTGACGGCTGGCATGGGTTCTTCGGAGCTTCTGGTTCCTGAGGAATTGGCACACACATCACAAACGGATCTCCGGTTAAATCAGCAAGACAACTGCATATTGGATTGTGATTAACGACGTTACACTGAGCGCGAATTCCACAAGTTCCTGGACAGGGGTCAATACACTTCTGGTTGCTACAAGCCATATTAGCAGTACAATCCGAGCTGATAACACACTCAGGACGACAATTTGGTGGAGCACCGAGATATCGTGATATACAAGAGCAGACTGCTTGGTTATTAATTTTCCTACACTGGCTGTTGGATCCACAAGGTGATGGATTGCAAGGATCAGTTTCCTGAGGTGCTTGCACCGGCGAACAGCTCACGAAAGCATTTCCTGCCATTTGTGGCGGACAAGTACAGACTGGAACGTGATTTACAACGCTACAAAGTGCGTTTTGACCACAAACTCCAACACAAGGGTCCCGACATTTATTTCTGATGCAAGCCTGGTCTCTGCGACAATCTGGATTCAAAACACACTCCGGTCTACAGCCTGCATAAGGATCACCTTGGAATTCAGGTAAGCACATGCATCGATCATTGATGCACTGAGTGTTGGACCCACATCTGCTGCATGGTGATGGTACGGGTTCCGGTGGATCTGAAGGTCTTGGAGAACAACGAGTAAATGGATCTCCACTGAATCCTTCAGGACAGGTACAAACTGGTGTGTGATTGACTACCGAGCATACAGCGCTTACTCCACAAGATCCTGGACAAGGATCTCGGCACTTAGATTGAAGACATGCTTGGTTACTTGAGCAATCTGGATTAATAACACACTCGGGTCGACAGTTTGGTGGTGATCCGTTGAATCCTGACAAGCAAGCACACGAAGCTTGACTATTGATGTCCCGACACTCTGAATTAGGTCCACACGGTGAAGGTACGCAAGGATTGACGTACGTTGGCTGAGATGGTGTTGCCATTGGTGTCATCATTTCAAAGCAGTTGACAAAAGGATCTCCGGTGTAACCGGCTTGACAGGAGCAAATTGGACTGTGGTTGATGATCTCACACCTGGTGTTGAATCCACAAGTGCCAGGACAAGGGTCTGAGCACTTCCTGTTGACACAAGCGCGGTTGGTAGGACATTCAGAGCTGACTGTACACTCTGGACGACATCCAGGTGGACTGCCGATGTATTCTGGAAGACAAGTACACACAGGTTGGGTATTGATCACGCGACATTGACTGTTAGGTCCACAAGGTGATGGGCTGCAAGGATCTGTAGGCGGCTGCACATCTGCGAGGACACTGCAGAAACTGAAAGGATCTCCAGTGTAACCTTGGAAGCAAGAGCACTGAGGTAGATGATACATCACCCGACATTCGGCGTTCATGCCACAAGTACCTGGACACGGATCTCTGCATTTCGATCTGATGCAAGCCATGTTTGAAGCACAGTCTGAGTTTACAATACATTCGGGTCTGCAACCTTCGTAAGGATTTCCTGTATACTCTGGCAAGCATGAGCAAGATCCAGCACCGTTCTGTTCTTTGCAAACGGCGTTAGGACCGCATGGTGATGGAGTGCAAGGAGTTTCTGGCGCTGTTGATGGTGGTGTTTGTTGCAGAATACACTGAGTGAATGGATCACCAGTAAATCCTGTCCTACAGACACACATCGGCGTATGACTGACGACATGACAGTCCGAATCAGCTCCACAGGATCCAATACAAGGGTTCTTACATTTCTGGTTGATGCAAGCCAAATTTGAAGCACACTCACTGTTGCTGACGCATTCAGGACGACAGTTCGGTGGAGAACCAGTGAATTCCGCAAGACAAGAACACGATGGAGAGTTGTTGATGACTTGGCATTGAGCATTGGGTCCGCAAGGCGAAGGTTGGCATGGATTTTGAGGCACTGGAGGATCTTCTGGTATTGGAGTGCATCTTACAAACGGATCACCGGAGAATCTCGGCAGACAACTACAGATCGGATTGTGATTGATTACTTGGCATGTCGCTCCGACTCCACAAGTTCCTTGACATGGATCTTGACACTTCTGATTGAAGCAAGCTTCATTCGGCGGACAGTCCGTGCTGACGATACACTCGGGTCTGCAAGTTGGTGGACTGCCCAAGTATCCTCGGATACAAGAACAAACCGCCTGACCATTTATGACCCGACATTCACTGTTCTGCCCACAAGGTGACGGGCTGCAAGGATTAGCTGGAACAGTAGCTTGGATAGGCAAGCACTGACTGAAAGCATTACCAGTCATTCCTGGAGGACAACTGCACATTGGAACGTGATTAATCACCGCGCAATTGGCGTTAGTAGCACAGGTTCCGGGACAAGGGTCTCTACATTTGTTTCTCCAGCAAGCGCGATCTCTTGAACAGTCCGTATTAAGAACACATTCTGGTCTACACCCAGTGTAAGGGTTTCCTTGGAATTCAGGCAAGCAGGTACACTGACCGTCGTTGCATTGAGCATTGGACCCACATGGCGACGGGTTGCACTTGTCTAGCGGTTCCATAGGTTGGTTGACTGGTTGAACATTGCAGGTAGTGAACGGATCCCCGGTGAATCCTTCAGGACAGGTGCAGATTGGTATGTGGTTAGAAACCGAGCACATGGCGTTGAATCCACAAGATCCAAGACATGGGTCCCGGCATTTTTCGTTGATACATGCCTCGTTGCTTGGACACTCAGAGTTGATAGAACATTCGGGCCTACAATTGGGTGGCTGACCGACGTACCCTTCTCGACAGGTGCAAGCTGGTGATCCACCAATATTGCGACAGTAAGAGAAACTTCCGCAAGGTGAGGGCGCACACGGGTCTCTGGGTACTTGGTCATTTGGTTCAGTTGCTAAAAGGTAACAGGGTATGGGTGTTATAATGGCAAAGCAATTCTGTAGAAAGCAATAAACATAGTAAATAAAGGGTAAAATGCTTACGTGGTGGTATAAGATTGCATCGGGTGAATGGGTCGCCGCTGTATCCCGACATACAACTGCAAATTGGGCTGTGGTTAACGACGACACACTTGGTGTTTAGTCCACAGGGTGCGGGGCACGGATTCTCGCATTTTTGGTTGATGCAAGCCAGCTGGGAGGGACATTCGGAGGAGGCGACACACTCGGGACGGCATCCTGGTGGGCTACCGATGTAGTTTGGCAAGCAAGTGCAAACTGGCTGTCCATTATTCACTCGGCATTGGCTATTGGGCCCACAGGGTGACGGGTTACAAGGTTCTCTTGGTCTATCGCTGTCTATTGCTGTGAAAAAATCATTTAAGTAGACATGGGAAGGGTTATGATAAATAATGGCTGAGTAAGACTTACGATTGGTCGATAACGGGGTGCAGTAAGTGAACGGGTCACCAGTGAAGGCCGGTCGACAGGTACAAGAGGGCGAGTGGTTGATGGGAATGCAATCGGCGTTCTGGCCACAAGCGCCGGGACAAGGGTCACGGCACTTTGATCTAGAGCAGCTCTGGTAAGATGGACAGTCGGAGTCTATTACACACTCGGGTCTACAGCCTTCGTATGGATTTCCAATGTAGTCGGCCAGACAGGAGCAAGATCCAGCGCCGTTTGACTCTTTGCAGACCGCGTTGGCACCACAGGGCGAGGGTATGCAGGGCGATTCTAAGTTTACGGGTGGTTGTGATGCTAGAAACATTTTACAAGGTCAATCTTTCTGGAATTCTTTGCTAATAGCGTCAAGCTCTGAGGATTTGCGTTCTAAAGGCTCAGGGGCTTCAGGTCTAGGTCTAGAGCTTAGGGATGCTAACATAAAACATGCTTACATGATACTGGCTGACAACCAGTAAAAGGATCACCAGTTTGTCCCGGGAGACAAACGCACATTGGAGTATGACTAACTACTCGGCATTCAGTGTTGATACCGCAGGACCCTGGACAAGGGTCTCGACACTTTCGATTGACACACGCCTTATTGCTGGGACACTCTGAGTTGCTTATGCACTCGGGACGGCAATTTGGAGGCGAACCTATGAATTCAGGTAAACAGGAGCAAGATGGGGAGTCGTTTATAACACGACACTCGGCATTCATGCCGCATGGTGATGGTTGGCAAGGATTTTCTGGTGGCGAAGTTGGGGTGTTTTCTGTGTGGAAATCATTTAGCTTAAAATTTGTAATAATTGTAACATATCAATAACTTAGAGGTGTAAGTCATCTTACGGATAAAGGTACAACGTGTGAATGGATCTCCAGTGAAACCTTCCCGACAGGAACAAATGGGATTGTGATTGATGACCTCGCACCGCGCTTCTAAGCCGCAGGTACCAGGACAAGGATCACGACAGCGCTGATTCGTACATGCCTCGTTACGAGGACAATCTGAACTGACTAGACATTGAGGGCGACATGTCGGAGGGCTTCCTAAGTATTCTGGAGCACAGGTACAAACGGACTGCCCGTTAACTGGACGGCAAATGCTGTTGGGCCCGCAGGGTGAGGGACTACATGGTCTGGTTTCTGGAGGAGCTAGGGTAATAACATTATCATTAATAACTTGGTGATGATGGTGATGGTGATAGTTTGTATGACGATGAATCATACCTTGGACTGGTTGGCAAGACACTAGAGCATTTCCAGCCATCCCGGCGAGACACGTACACATGGGAATGTGATTGAAAACTGTGCATTGGGCGTTTTGACCACAAGTACCTGGACACGGGTCAATACACTTGTTTCGGACACAAGCTCGGTCTTGAGGGCAGTCATTGTTCAAGACACACTCGGGTCTACAGCCAGAATTGGCGTCGCCAAAGTAATTGGGCAGGCAAGAACAGAATCCGCTGTTACATTGAGCGTTTGAGCCACATGGTGATGGGTTGCAAGGATCAGTGACCGTAGGTGCTGTTGGTTGTTGATAGAAGCACCCAGTGAATGGATCTCCGGTGTAACTTTCGATACACGAGCAAACTGGAACGTGGTTGTAGACTGAACACACAGCATTCTGCCCACAGGATCCAGGACAAGGATCCCTACACTTCTCGCTCATGCAAGCACGGTCGCTTGGACACTCCGAGTTTATGACACATTCAGGACGACAATTGGGCGGACTTCCACTGTAACCTGTTGAACACGAGCAAGCTGGGCTGCCGTTAGCGTTCCTGCACTGAGAGTTTGGTCCACATGGCGACGGGAAACATGGATCTCGAGGTCTTTCGATCTCCGTTGATTCTACAATAAGGGTTTTGTTAAAGGTTTCCTACAAAAGAAGGAAAAGTGGTTGAATTTAGAGGCCTTACGTGGAATAGGGAAGCAAATGGTGAACGCATCTCCAGTAAATCCAAGGTTACATGAACAAATAGGGCTGTGGTTGACGACTCTACATGTAGCTTGTCTTCCACAAGGTTCAGGACAAGGGTCAATGCATTTTAAACTAACGCAAGCGCGATTCAAAGCGCAATCTGAACTGGTTGTACATTCAGGTCGACATCCCGGTGGGCTGCCATTGTATCCCGGCAAGCAGGAGCAAACAGATTGCCCGTTTGACTCGCGACACTGACTGTAAGGCCCGCAAGGTGAAGGTCGACAAGCGCTGCCTTTGTTTTCTACTTCTAGAAAGGTTAGACGTTAGATATCTCTTTTTCAATACATTACCCGCTGATGGATTAATCAATTTACCTGTTGGTGAAATGAAACTACAGAACCTGAAAGGATCTCCAGTGTATCTATCAATGCAAGAGCAGGTTGGCAGGTGGTTTACCACCTGACAAACGGCATTCTGACCGCAAGTACCCGGGCAAGGGTCCCTGCATTTGGAACTAATGCAAGCTAGGTTTGCGGAGCAGTCAGAATTCAAAACACACTCGGGTCTGCAACCTTCGTAGGGGTTTCCAATGTATCCGGGGAAGCAAGAGCAAGATCCGGCATTCTGCTGGACTCTACACTCTGCGTTAGAACCACAGGGTGATGGTGAACAAGGATTCGTCACCACTGGCTGGTCAACTAAAATCATTACCATTAATTTCTGTGCTTCCAGGTTTGTTTTTTGGTTACTTCAAATATCTTACATTGCGCTGGAGTACACTGAGTGAAAGGATCACCGGTAAATCCAGTCGTACAGATACACATTGGTGTGTGACTGACGACCCGACATTCTGCATTAGCACCACAAGATCCAGGACAAGGATCTCTACACTTCTGTCTAATACACGCAAGGTTATTGGAGCAGTCGCCGTTGCTAATGCACTCGGGCCGACAATTTGGTGGAGTTCCGGTAAATTCTGGGAGACAGGAGCACGATGGAGAGTCATTTATCACCCGACACTCTGCATTTGGACCACAAGGTGAAGGTTGGCATGGATTGATTGGCTTAACTGGTTCTTGAGCTTTGGAAAAGTTTAATTGCACTGTTACCTTCTATCAAGAAAAAGAAAACGAAAAAGAAAGAGAAAAGAAAGCTTACGAGTCATTTGGCATTGCACAAACGGATCTCCAGTCATCGACGAAGGACAACTGCAAATAGGGTTGTGATTGATAACATTACAGGTTGCTTGCAGTCCGCAAGCACCCTGACAAGGGTTCCTACACTTCTGATTGCTACAAGCTTCGGTCAAAGGACATTCTGACGAGATAACACACTCTGGTCTGCAGCTAGGAGGACTTCCAATGAATCCAGTGATGCAAGTGCAGGTAGCATGTCCGTTACTCTGTCGACATTTGCTGTTCGGACCGCAGGGCGACGGGTTGCATGGATCAGTTACTTGAGGCACTAAAAGTAATGAAAGCTATTGATCTAGCTCTAGGTGATTGGTTTGTATAAAACTGAAGAGAAAATCCTACCAGTGACTGGAGAACACATGACAAAAGCATTGCCTGCCATTCCTGAAGGACAAGTACACATAGGGACGTGGTTATAGACGTTACATACAGCGTTTTGGCCGCAAGTTCCTGGACAAGGATCTTTGCACTTATTACGAATGCAAGCTTGGTTCTGAGGACAGTCATTGTTCAAAACGCACTCGGGTCTGCATCCAAAGTAGGGATCTCCGATGTATTCAGGTAAACAGGTGCAAACTCCTTGCTGACAACGAGTGTTTGCTCCGCAGGGCGAAGGGTTACACGGGTCTTGAGGTAGTTCATCCACTGATAGAAAGAGATAGATTAGAAATGGTTAGAGTTAGAGTTAAAGTTAAAGTAAAGAGAAAGTGAAAGATAGGTCTTACTTGGTGGCTGGATGATGCAACTGCTGAAGGGATCACCAGTAAATCCTTGAGGGCAGGTGCAGATAGGTGTATGGTTAACAACCTCGCACTGCGCTTGAATGCCGCAAGATCCGGGACAAGGATCACGGCATTTAGAACGCATGCAAGCTTGGTTAACAGGACAATCCGCGCTAATTGTACATTCAGGTCTGCAGTTTGGTGGAGAACCAATGAAAGAAGGCAAACATGAGCAAGAGGGTCCATTAGAGTCGCGACATATAGAGTTAGGTCCACATGGCGATGGTACACAAGGATTCTGGGTTTCAACTGGGCTCGGGGCTGTAAATATGGTTTTAAATCTAGAACTAATTTCGGGTAACTTTTTTTGGAGTTTTTAATTGATAAAGACTTACGTGGAGCTGCGAAACAGGAGGTGAATGGATCGCCGGTAAAACCGTTCCTGCAGGTACAAATGGGACTGTGGTTCATGACAATGCAGTCGGTATTTCTACCGCAAGGTTTTGGACATGGATTGTCACACTTTCTGTTAATACAAGCGCGGTTCCGAGGACACTCGGAACTGACAGTACATTCGGGCCGGCAGCCAGGTGGAGCACCGATGTATTCAGGTAGGCAAGAACAAACGGCTTGGTTGTTGATAACCCGGCATTGACTGTTGGGACCACAAGGACTGGGCGAGCAGAGCTCTGTGATTGCGGGCTGAGTTATCAGAGGTGCTGGGCTGCAGTATCTGAACGGGTCTCCGGAGTAACCTGTTGAACAGGTGCAGGACGCCAGGTGGTTTATCGTCTGGCACTGGGCATTGGGACCGCAGGTTCCAGGACACGGGTCTTGACACTTGGTCCGTATACAGGCAAAGTTCGTGGGACAGTCTGAGTTGATAACACACTCAGGTCTGCAGCCTTCGTAGGGATCACCTATGTAGTCGGGAAGGCATGAGCAGGATCCAATACCGTTTTGCTCACGACAGACTGTATTGGTGCCACAGGGTGACGGTGAGCAAGGTCGTCTCATCTCCTTTGGGGGTTCTAGAGGGAAATCTTTTAGCTTAATACTAGTTTTTGGGTTATGGTTAACATGATATGAGCTTGGTTGATAAGCAGGTGCTGCGATAACTGCGGGGTTGATGCTTGTGGGTGAATTCGGTCAGTTGTGATTATATCTAACGATGGTAAGCGTAGTTAATGGCATTATTTTGGGTTCAGGTCTTTAAATTAGGGTCTAGTTAATTGCATTCTGCAACTGGTGGGTCATTAGATTGAGGTTCAGGTCTTAGGGTCTAAAATCTAGGGTTGATGTGTGACATTTAAGTGATTTAGGTATTACTAATTCTAAGTTAATGACTACATTTCTTTGGCAGGGTTTAGAGCCTTTGGTTAGAGGCTTCGCCACCATTTAAGGTCTTAGGGCAATGGATTAATCGCTTGGCGTGTGTCATCGAAGTGCTGAAGAACTATTTGTTCCTCGTGAGTTTATTTGTGTCGTTAGTCAATAAAGCGACACTTGCCGTAATTTTTAAGCTCTTACCTGCTCTAAATGACAGCAGAGTCATCAAGATCAAAAACTAACTTTAAAACCATTACCACATGCAGAATTCAATTGGTTGACTTACCCTTTGGTGCAAGAATACAGTTGCTGAACGGATCCCCGGTGAATCCTTCGGAACAAGCGCAGACTGCATGGTGGTTGACTACTGAGCAGGTTGCGGAAATTCCACAGAGTCCAGCACAAGGATCACGGCACTTTTGTTGAATACACGCGAGGTTTGAAGGACATTCTGGGTTTATGGTGCACTCAGGTCGGCAGTTTGGTGGCTGACCAATGTAATTTTGAGCGCAGGAACAAGCTGGGCTGTTTCCACGGACGTTGCATTCAGAGTTGGGACCACAAGGAGATGGTTGACATGGATTTACTGGTTCCGGAGGCGTATCCACTGTAAAAGTTTAATTTTGGTTAGATTTTCATCAATAGACCTCAAAATAAAGTTTCTAGTTGATAAATTACCTGGTAATAAGTAACATCTAGTGAAAGGATCACCAGTATTGCCTTCCAAGCAGCTACAAATTGGATTATGATTGACAACTTGGCATTTAGCGTTTTGTCCACAAGTTCCTGGGCAAGGGTCCTGACACTTGTTGTTCAAGCAAGCGCGAGTTAAAGGACACTCTGCGCTAGTGACACACTCAGGTCTGCAACCTGGAGGGCTACCGACGAATCCTGGTGAGCAAGAGCACACAGCATGATCTTCAACAACACGGCAGATACTGTTAGGTCCGCAAGGTGACGGAGAGCATGGTTCTTTCGGAGTAGTATCTTCCTTAACTGGTCTGCAGGCGAAAAACGGATTGCCAGTGGTTTCTTGTGAGCAGCTGCACATCGGGATGTGATTGACGACATTGCAAAGAGCATCAGTACCACAGGTTCCAGGGCACGGATCAACACAACGTTGGTTCATGCAAGACTTAGTCCGAGGACAGTCTGAATTCATGGTACATTCCGGACGACAGAAGACGTAAGGATCGCCTTGGTATTCAGGCAGACAAGTACAGACTCCTGAGTTGCAGAGAGCGTTCGCTCCACAAGGTGAAGGGTTGCAAGGATCTTCCGGTTGTTTTGGTTCCATGATTTGGGAACAGAGTGTAAAGGCATCTCCAGTGAATCCTTCCCGGCAAAGACATGTAGGAATGTGGTTTTGTACCCGACATTCTGCGTCTTGTCCGCAAGATCCAATGCAAGGGTCTCTGCACTTTTCGGAGATACATGCTTGAGTTGAAGGACAGTCAGTGTTGACAACACACTCAGGTCTGCAGTTGGGAGGCGAGCCGATGTAGTTATTAAGACAGGAACAGGCAGCTTGATCGCCAACTCTTCGACATTCAGCGTTGAGTCCGCAAGGATTAGGTACGCAAGGATCACTAGGTCTTGTTGGTGGCACTTCTACTGCTTGGTAGCACCTAGAGAATGGATCTCCAGTGGTTCCCGCGGGACAGCTGCAGAGAGGGTTGTGGTTGATCACACGGCAATCTGCTCCAATGCCGCAAGTTCCAGGACACGGGTCATTGCACTTGTATTTGTAGCACGCGCGATTCTGAGCGCATTCCGTGTTGACCACACATTCTGGACGGCAGTTCGGTGGAGCTCCGATGTAGTTAGCTTGGCAGGTACACACAGCCTGGTCGTTGATGGTCCGACAGAGACTATTTGGTCCGCAAGGAGAAGGATTGCAAGGATCTAGGCTTATTCCTGGAGTTGTAGACTCTACTTGGAATGTACAAGTAGTGAAAGGATCGCCGATGAATCCTGGAAGACAAGTGCAAGTTGGTATGTGGTTGATGACAGAACACTGGGCTTGAGTGCCACAGACTCCTGGACAAGGATCCACACACTTGTTTCTCTCGCAAGCTTTGTTTGTTGGACAATCCGAGCTGAGGATACACTCTGGTTGGCAGCCTTCGTAGGGATTGCCATGGTAATCATCAATGCAAACGCAAGCACCTGCATTGTCTCGTTGTTGGCAGATGGCGTTAGGACCGCAGGGTGAAGGTTCGCAAGGGTTGATCGTTTCCGGTTGCTCTATCATGCACTGGACGAATGGATTGCCAGTGTAGCCGCTGGTACAGCTGCAAGTGACTGCGTGGTTGATGACGCGACATTCTGCGAAGTCTCCGCAAGACCCTGGGCATGGGTCAACGCACCGTGAGTTGATGCAAGCTTGGTTTGATGGACAGTCAGGGTTAATGACACACTCTGGTCTGCAGGATGGTGGAGATCCGATGTAATTAGGCAGACATGAGCAAGCAGGAATTCCATCGTTGTTCTGACACTGTGCGTTGGGTCCACAAGGTGATGGTGAGCAAGGATCTTGGGGATCTTTAGGCTCCGCTGGCATGGTAATCTCGTAGCAGCTTCTGAAAGGATCGCCAGTTTGTCCGGGAGGGCAGCTGCAAATCGGCGAGTGGTTGATGACTTCGCATCTTGCATTGAGGCCACAAGATCCAAGACATGGGTCGGTACACTTGTTGCTGATGCAAGCGCGTGTTGGAGGACACTCTGAGCTAGTCAAACACTCCAGACGACACATTGGTGGTGTTCCTAAGTATCCCGAGAGGCAGGAACAGACTGCGTGGTTCTCCACGTTGCGACATTGGCTGTTAGGTCCACATGGGGATGGTGAGCAAGGATCTCTCTTGTTTTCAGGAGTGTCTTGCTGGATTCTGCAGTTGGTAAACGGATCTCCAACGAATCCTGGACGGCAAGAACACACTGGTATGTGATTTACAACGTCGCATTCAGCATTCTGTCCACATCTTCCTGGACAAGGATCCACACACTTATTGCGAAGACATGACTTATCTCTAGGACACTCTGAGTTCAGCACACATTCAGGTCGACACTCTTCATACGGATTTCCGAAGTACTCTGGCAAGCAAGTACATTCTCCGGCTCTGCAGATAGCATTTGGACCACAGGGCGATGGAGTGCAAGGATCTGCTTGAATTGGTGCTTGAGTAGTCGGCGGAATTAATGAGCACTCTGTAAACGGATCTCCAGTGAATCCTTCCATGCATGTACAAACTGGGATGTGATTCAGAACGTGACACTGGGCGTTGAATCCGCAAGAACCTGAGCAAGGATCTTGACAGCGTTGGTTAACGCAAGCCAGGTGGCTCTTGCACTCAGAGCTGATGATACACTCTGGTCGACACTCTGGCGGCACTCCGATGTAGTTTGGAAGACAGGAACAAGCTGGATTACCAAAGACCATCTGACACTGTGAATTAGGACCACATGGAGATGGATTGCAAGATGGTGGTCTTGGTGTTGAAGTAGCTGGTACTTCAATTTGTGGTATGCAGAGAGTGAATGGATCTCCAGTGAAGCCAGCAGGACAAGTGCAGATTGGATTGTGATTCTTGGTGGTGCATTGAGCGCGAACGCCACAAGTATTCGGACAAGGATCAGCGCACTTTCTGTTGATGCAAGCGAGATGAACTGGACATTCTGCGTTGACAATGCACTCCGGTCGGCAGGATGGAGGCGCTCCGATGTAGTCTGGAAGACATGTACAGACCGCTTGGCTGTTGATGGTCCTGCATTTGCTGTTAGGACCACATGGTGTTGGAGAACAAGGGTCCTGTGGTGGTAGAATCTCTTTAGTCTCTTCATTGCAGGCGTAGAAGGGATCTCCAGTGTATCCAGGCGGACATTGACATCTAGGAACGTGATTCTCTACCTGGCAAATTGACAAAGTCCCACAAGTTCCAGGACATGGGTTGGTACACTTGAACCCAACACACGCCAGATGAGGAACGCAGTCATCATTGACTTCACACTCACGATGACAACCTTTGAGATTGTCATAAGGATCACCGATGAAGTCAGCAGGACAAGCGCAAGCTCCTGCTCCGTTTCTTTCTCTACACTGCGCGTTGGGTCCGCAAGGATTCGGAAGACATGGGTTGGTTGGTCTAGGTTCGGGAATCGATGGCATAGCAGGCGTACATTGAGTGCTTGGATCTCCAGTATATCCTTCAGGACAAGAGCAAACTGGAGAATGATTTAACACCGAACATCTTGCCATGTCTCCACAAGCTCCAGGACAGGGGTTCTTACATCGCTGGTTGATGCATCCCATGGTTGTAGGACACTCCGAGTTGTCTCTGCACTCAGGTCTGCAATTTGGTGGGCGACCCAAGAAGTTAGGTGCGCAAGAGCAAGCTGGCTGAGAGCCTACAACCTTGCACTGTGAATTAGGTCCGCAAGGATTAGGCACGCAAGGATCTTCGTCTTCTCTTCCAGGTCCTGGTGTTAGCTCAACCTTGCTGCAAGCAACGAATGGATCTCCAGTGTAACCACCAGCGCAGGTGCAAATCGGGCTATGATTGACAACCAGACACTTGGTGTTCTCTCCACAAGCTGACTGGCAAGGATTGATACACTTGTTATTCACGCAAGCTTTGCTTCTTGGACATTCCGTGCTGATACTACACTCGGGCCTGCAAGTCGGTGGAGTTCCAATGAACCCACTCTTGCAGGAACAAACTGCGTGGCCGTTAAGCGTTCTGCAGTTGCTGTTGGGTCCACAGGGCGCTGCTTCGCATGGATCAGTTATCGGTGACTTGGTGACGATTTCCAGGACTGAGCAACCAGTCGTTGGATCTCCAGTGTAACCTGCTAGACAAGTACAAGATGGCGCGTGGTTTACTACCCGACAAGAAGCATTGGGCCCGCAAGTTCCAGCGCAGGGATTGATACATTTGTTATGCAAGCAAGCCTTAGTTCTTCCACAGTCGTTGTTAGTAACGCATTCAGGTCTGCAACCAGTGTAAGGATCTCCAAAATATTCTGGAATACAGGAACAAGATCCAGCTCCGTTTCTTTCATTGCAAACAGCGTTAGCTCCACAAGGTGAAGGATCACATGGTGTTCTTGGCTTTTCTGTAGTGTAAGGCTCTTGCAGCTGAGGCGTACATTCAATGAATGGATTACCGGTGAATCCTGGGTTGCAATTACAAACTGGATTGTGTTTGACCACATCGCAGAAAGTGTTGGCCCCACAAGAACCCGGACAAGGATCCGAGCAGCGTTCGTTCTGACACGCCAGATTTCCAGGACATTCTTCGTTTATCACACACTCGGGTCTGCAATTGGGAGCTCTGCCAACGTAGTTGGGAAGACAAGAGCAAGCTGGGAACCCATCTATAACCCGACACTGAGAATTCGGCCCACAAGGTGAAGGCACGCACGGATTACCGCCAGGTTCTGGTCCAGGAATCTTGGGTTCTTCCTTCAAACATCCAGAGAATGGATCTCCAGTGTAACCGTTCATGCAAATGCAAACCGGGTTGTGGTTGATAACTTGGCAGCGTGCATTGAGCCCACAAGTTCCAACGCAAGGATCTTCGCAGCGCTGGTTAATGCAAGCCTTGTTCTGAGCGCAGTCTGTGCTAATAACACACTCGGGTCTGCAAGTTGGTGGGCTTCCGATGGTTCCTGGTTGACATGAGCACACAGCATGGAAGTCAATGACTCGGCAATTGCTGTAAGGTCCACAAGGCGACGGTTCGCAGGCGTTCTCAGGAACGGGTGGAGTAGATGGAGGAACGTAGCAAGACGTCAGAGGGTTTCCGGTGTATCCTGAGAGACAACTACACGATGGCTGATGATTGAACACTTGGCACTGAGCATTAAGGCCACAAGCTCCTTCACACGGGTCCTTGCATTTGTTGTTCGTGCAAGCTTTGGAGTGAGGACAATCCGAGTTCTGAACACACTCAGGTCTGCAGCCGTCGTAGGGATCTCCGGTGTAGTCCGGCAAGCAAGTACAGGACCCAGCTCCGTTCCTTTCATTGCAAACTGCATTGGAGCCACAAGGTGATGGGTTACAAGGCTCGCTAGGTGGCGCAACTGGTGTCATTTCACGCTGGTTGCAGGCGGAGAACGGATCTCCTTCGAATCCTTCTTGGCATTGGCATATTGGTCGGTGGTTCCTGACGATACAGTTGGCGTTGATGCCGCAAGACCCGACGCAAGGGTTCACACAGCTGTTTTGCAAACAAGCCAGGTAGTTCGGACAGTCTTGGTTGATCAGACACTCAGGTCGGCAGTTAGGAGGCGCGCCAAACATTCCAGTTAGACAAGAACAGACTGGGCGGTTGTTTTGGACCCGGCATTGGGCGTTTGGACCACATGGAGAAGGCACACAAGGGTTCGTCGGTTCGACTACCTTTGGAACCTCCGAGCACTGAACAAACGGATCTCCAGTGTGTCTTTCAGGGCAACTGCAGATAGGGTTGTGATTGCTGACTTGGCAAAGCGCGTTGTAACCACAGACGCCTTGGCAAGGATCGCTGCACTTCTGATCAATGCAAGCCAGATGCGGAGCGCACTCCGAGCTGACGAGACACTCCGGTCTGCAGGAAGGTGGAGTTCCTCTGTATCCTGGACTGCAAGAGCAGACCGCGCGGTCGTTGGCCACTCTGCAAATACTGTAAGGTCCACAGGGTGATGGTGTGCATGGATTCTGCGGTGGGACGTTCATTTTTTCAATCTTACAAGTCTGGAACGGGTCTCCAGAGTATCCTGAGAGACAAGAGCAAGTGGGAATGTGATTAGACACCTCGCATTGGGCGTTGAAGCCACAGATTCCTGGACAAGGGTCTCTGCAGTGTTGGTTCAGGCAAGCCAGGTGGTTGGCGCAGTCTGAGTTGATCATACATTCAGGCTTGCAACCTCCAACGTAAGGATTTCCGACGTATGGAGGAATGCAAGTGCACCTAGCGACTCCGTTCACTACATTACAGATAGCATTGTTGCCACAAGGCGAAGGATTGCAAGGATCATCAGGAGGTGTTGGTTGAATAGGCACCATAGTGCACCCAACGAATGCGTCGCCTTCGTATCCAGGTTTGCAAGAGCAGTAGGGCGTGTGGTTGATGATAGCGCACTCGGAATTGGGTCCGCAGCTGTGAGGGCAAGGGTGGATACATTTGTTCGCTACGCAAGCTTGGTCTATTGGACATTCCTGGCTGATGAGACACTCTGGTCTGCAGTTCGGTGGACTTCCTATGAAGGTACTCTGACAGGAGCACACTGGACGGCCCATCTTGATCTGGCAGACTGAGTTAGGACCGCAAGGCGACGGATGGCATGAAGATGTGGGTTCCAGTTCTTCTTTGTTCATTGGAACGCAAGCCACAAAAGGATCTCCTTCGTAAGTAGCAGGACAACTGCACACCGGGTTGTGATTTATCACCAAACACAAAGCACCGTGTCCGCAGATTCCGTTGCATGGGTTCACGCACTTGTTGTTGATGCAAGCCTGGATTTGGAGACAATCTGAGCTGACGATACACTCGGGATTACACAAAGGCGGGCTTCCGCGGAAGTCTGGTAAGCATGAGCAAGTGGCGTAGCCTCGCGGTGAAATTAGACACCTGCTGTTTGGTCCACAGGGCGAAGGGTCGCAAGGATTTGATTGAGGTACTATCACTGGACCCACTTCTTTGTGAGGGTAGCAATGAACAAACGGATCTCCGGAGAGATTCGCGTCGCAGAAACAGACTGGGTAGTGATTAATCACGTCGCAGGAGGCTCCAGTTCCACAAGCGCTGTGACAAGGATCGACGCACTTATGGTTAGAGCAAGCCTTGGTCAAAGGACAGTCTGAATTTTGGACACACTCAACGTGACAAGCGAAGAATGGATTGCCAGAGTAGCCTTCCATGCACTTGCAAGTAGTAGCTCCTTGGTTTTCACGGCAAATTGCATTGGCTCCACACTGGGTAGTACTACAAGGGTCGCGATGATCAGTGTCTTCAGGAATGCACCCTTGGTACGGATTTCCATAGAGTCCAGTAGGACAACTGCAGACTGGTTGATGCCAGATGACTTCGCAGTTGGCGTTAACGCCGCAAGTTCCCAAACAAGGGTCAGCGCACTTCCAGCCTATGCAAGCGTGGTCGAAGGGGCAGTCGCTGTTGCAAAGACACTCTGGACGGCACCAAGAATTTTCTTGAAGATCACAGCCGCCACACATTGCCACTTGGTCCGTGAAGGTCTCGCAGTAGTCAAAAGGTCCGCAGGGCGAAGGCGAGCAAGGATGAGTGATGTTGGGGTACTTGTCCATAGTGATGCTGGATTTGGGTGTGCAGCGGATAAACGGATTTCCAAAGTAGTCTGGTCGACAGAGACAAGTGGCAGTGTGATGAGACACGCGACACTCGGCGTTGGTGCCACAAATATTCCCAAGACTGCAAGGATTCACACACTGCATGTTCAAACAGGCTTTGTCGTGAGAACAGTCTGAGTTTATCATACACTCCGGATGACAACCAGTCTGTGGATCACCCAAGAATCCTGGAAGACATGAACAGACTGCTCGGTTCTTCAGAATTTGGCACAAAGTATTCTGACCGCAAGGATTTGGATAGCAAGAATTCTTCACTGGCTCTGGTACCATCGGTGGAGAGCACCTGAGGATTGGATTGCCTTGGAGTCCTTTTCTGCAGTAGCAGACCGGGTGGTGTAACTCCACACGACAGTTGGCGTTGACTCCGCAAGCTCCATTGCAAGGATTCTGACACTTGTGACCAATGCAAGCGTGAGTTTGAAGACAATCGTCGTCTTTTGTGCACTCAAAGCTATCGCATCCAGCTGGACTCGTAGGATCTCCTGATGTTCCTGGAGAACACTCGCAGATGGCCTTGCTGGAGCTTGTAACCCGGCAGATGGCGTTCCTGCCACAAGGATTGGGCTGGCAAGCGCTGCTAGGCGGCTGATGACAACCCGTGTAAGGATCACCGATGAATCCGGCCTTGCAGTAGCATTGCTCGCGGTTTTCTGACACGTAGCAGTCAGAATTGACCCCACAGGGGCCAGGTTGACACAGAGGAACTTCAACGTTGACTGTGCAAGCTTTGTAAGGATTTCCGACGGTGTTTTCCGGGCAGTAGCAAGGAGGAGCGCGGTTTGCGTCGCAAACTGCGTCATTTCCACAAGGATTTGGCTCGCATGGATGAGTCTGCTCGATACATCCTCGGACTGTGTTCGGACTTTCAATGAATCCTGGAAGACATGTACACTTAGCGATTCCGTTGTTCAGAATGTTGCACCTGGTGTTAGGCCCACATGGGGATGGCTCGCAAGGATTCTCTGGGACGAAGCAAGCGGTCGCTGGAGGACTTCCTTCGTATCCTGGAAGGCAGAAGCAAGTGATCTGGCCTTGGATGACCCGGCAGCCTGAGTTAGGACCGCAGGGGTTGCCCTGGCACTTGTCTCCTTCAGGGACACAATGTTCGAAAGGATTTCCTGTCATTCCTTTGGGGCAGAAGCAGATCGGGTCGCCGTTGTCTACTTCGCACATCGCTTCCAAGCCACATGGGTTTGGAACACACGGATTCGACCCGGAACTCTCGCAGGCAACCTGCGGATTTCCTTCGTAGCCTGGTAAGCATCTGCATTTTGCTGTATGATCTTCTGTGAAGCATTCTGCGTTGCTTCCGCAGCTGTCCTCGAAGCAAGGATTTATACAGCGGCGGTTCAACCGGTCGCACAGTTTGTTCGGCGGGCAATCTTCGTTGTATTGACAGACATCTCCGGTGCTTGATACTGAAATTTTTAAGTATTTGAGAAACTTGTTATTAAGATCACTGATAAAAGAATTATCTTTATTTAAGAAAAATATTCTTGATCCAAGAAAATTATTTTGAAGAGAACTAGTTGTCTTACTTCAAGAATTTCTTGTCTTGAATTCATGTTTCATGGATTGAGAGGTCTAATCACTCCTATCGATAACATTTTTACTTGGTTCAAGACTATATTTATCTTCGATTGATACAAGTGAATTTTTTATTCAAAAACGATTTTCTTCAATAAAGAATAATTTTATTTTATTTCAAGAATTATTGATTGTTGATTCAAGAACAAATTTTTTTATTTACAATGTTATAAGTTTAAGTCAGAAAAAAACTTTAAAGTAAAAAATTTGGATTTTTCTATATGCCGAAAAATATTTATTAATAATGACATTAAGTTAGCAGTCACTTGACAATTTTTTAATTGTTTTCAATAAATAAATTATGACAAAAAAAAATTATTAAAAAAAATGAACTTATAGAAATTTTGATAAATTAAAAATGCAATTTTTTTAAAATAATTTTTTAGTACAAATTTTTTTTGTTAAAGAAAATCAAAAAATTATCAAGTGATAACTAAATTAAATGTTATTTATTAATACAAAAAATAGCAAAAATACGAAAATTTATATGCTTAAAACAATTAAATAATATTTTAATTCAAGAATCGTGGCATACTTAGAACTAGTCGGTAATATTTTGAACCAATGCTAACGTCTATCTTAATCCAAGAGAAACAAATTATTGGCGGAGTTGTATGTATCTTTTTTTCAAACAACCCAGTTTCTTGATTTAAGAATCAATTTCTTAAGTTAAGAAAATTAAATTACTTAAAACAAAAATGACATTTTGAAGATAAAGTTTTTCTTGAATCAAGTTATTTTTTTTTTATCAAAATGCATTGACTTAATATAATTGATAATAATATTTTTTATGATTGACTCTTACCAGGACTGCAAAGACTAAATGCATTTCCGTGATAGCCTTCCTCGCAGCTACAATCAGTACCGTGGTTCGTGTTGATACAGACAGCGTGAGCAGCACACGGGTTTTTGATGCGACAAGGGTCCTGGCAGATATGTCCCACGCAGATCTCCCACACCGGGCAGTCGTTGTCGCTATTGCAACCGGCTAAAGAAAGAGAGAAAGGTGCCCATAAAGACCCAGTGCAAACTCGAAGATGAAGGACCAAGTGATTTATTTATTTATATATAATTCAATTCATTGGCTAGGACTATTGTTTTAGGTCTTCGAGTTGAACAGTGTGCTAGTGTCATGTGTTTTAATTTACACGTGACTGATAAATGTCAATTTATATATATTTATCAATTTAGGACTTATCAAGATCAGTATTTTAATAGATAATTTTGATGAATTTATATGTAAAAAAATTAAGGTAAATTTTTACAAGTGGGGTCCACCTTTTTAATTTTCATTTTTTTGAAAATTTTAATATATTTTTTTTTTAATACATAAAAAAATAAACAATTAAAAAAAAAAGTTGATTACCACAATTTTAACAAATTTTAAAAAAAATTTATAAATTTTTTAGAAAATTGTGATATTCACCTTTTTTTCCATTGTTCTTTTTTTAATGTATTTTTCAAAAAAAAGATAGAATAGAAATTTTATTCAAAAACATGAGCAAATATTTTTTCCAATTTTTGAAAGCAAAAAAAGCTATCAATATCTTTATTTTCTTCTTTCACAACATTTTTTATTATAAATGCGCTGTAAAAATAAGCAGAATAAAAAAAATTAAAAAATGTTAATTTTTCACCTAGGTATGGCCAAAAATAGAGTCGACTTCACTTGTAAATAATTACTAAAATTAATATTTATTAAAATTTTTGTTTTTTAAAAAATATTGAAACTTTCAGATTGCATGTTGCAATTTTTATTTTTATAATAAATCAATATTAAGAAAAAAAATCAACTGATCTTGAAAAACTAGTCTTAATTGACAAAAAAAGGTGTATAAAACATTTGTAGCATTCAGGTGCGATAAATCGAACCTCTGATTGCTTGTATTTACACTGGATATATACAAGTGTGATAAAAAAAAGTAGATACCTTTAATGCAGGTGTTGGTTGAAGTATCACACTGATGTCCTAGTGGACAGTACGGACATCCGGAAGATTTATCATTGGCTGAAAATAAAAGTAATGATTAATAAAAAATTTCCAGATGGATAAAAGATAAAGTCTAAAAGGAACAACATCATAAAGAAATCTAAGAGTTAGATAAATGGGCTGATGATAGGTTACCTTTAACGCAAACCGGTCGATGATCCTGGACGTGACATTCTTCAACGTAATCACAAGGATTTCCGAGTGTACAAGGATTCAAGCATTTCTGATTAATGCAAGCCAGTTGTGAAGGACAGTCGCTGTGGTCAGAGCATTTGACATCTATCAAAATGAATATTCATGAGTAAAAGTCTGCTTGTTAATTAAAGGAATGTTTAATTTTTTAATAAATAAATATTTTGTTGAAGGGATTGATTATTTGATAATAATAATTTTTTTTTTTTAACTACGTGGTTCTAACAGATTAATCAAGCCCAAACGCTGGAGAAAATAAAGGACAGTGATAAAGGAGAAGTAAAGATTGTTGAGTGATAAAAGACAAGGGCTCGTATTTTAATGAATAAATATTCAAATAATAAAAGAGGAAGATTGATATGTATGTTGGTTGAGCTATATGCTACATGGTATATGCAATCCTGTAATTCCTGGTAATCACTGGTGATTTATCTTGACGACTGTCTCAAGACGCTGTGGATAAATATTAACAATAGAAGATAAAAATAGTTAAGTTTTTAATAAAAAATAACAAATAAAGAAGCGTTCTAAGTACTTGTGCTATTAATCAAGACTATCAGCACAATCCTACATGTCTAACTACCATGCATTAATAATAAAAGCTGTAGAGGTAAATATTGTCAGAGGTGTTGCTGTTTCTTCGTGGATTATTAATAATAAATATAAATATAAATATGAGTATTTATTATTTTTTTTTTTTTGCAGAGACAGATGCAACGGAAGGAGAAATAATAAACGTTGGTCCAGCAGGGCCGCGATCGGCAGAGGACAGGCTATCGGTAAGTCACAGGGCACTTCCAGATCAATATTTTACCAGAAAACCTGAAATAATTCGACTAGGCTCGCAGAGCTCCAATTACCACAATAAGAGTACAGATGGAAGAACAGTTTTTTTTTGGTGATTCTTCTTTTTTTGCAATCATTGTCTTTGTTTGAAATTATTCAAGCAGTTGGAATTTTTTTGAATACTTTTTGAAGGTTTTTTTTCTCTGTTGAAATAAAAAACTTTCAAATTAGAAATTTAATTTTTATCAATTATTTTGAGTTAAGCATAATTTTATTTGAGCGTAAAAATGGAGAATTGATATTGTAAAATTAGCTGACCATTTTTTAATTCTTTTGGTTTTTTTACATATAAATTATTATGAAAGAAATTTTACTTAATTTTTTTTAATTTAATTTTTATCAATTATTTTGTGATCAGTATTTATTTTATTTTAGCGTAAAAATGGCGGATTGCTATTGTAGTCATTAACCGACCATTTTTTAATTTTTTGGTTTTTTTTAACAGCTAAATAATTATGAAAGAAATTTTTACTTAACTTTCTTAATTATTTTCAATTTATTAAGAAAAAAAAAAAAAATTTTTTTAATTCTTAATTTTAATATAAATTTAGGTTATAAGATAATTAAAAAATGATTTCTAAAATTTTTTGAAATAATAAGATTTTTTTTTAAAGTTCATTAAAATTAGAATAATTTAATGTTAATTTTCTAATTTTTTTATAAAAAAAAAACCAGATTTACTTAAACAAAAATTAAAAAATGAAAAAAATTAATTCTTAATTTTAATATCATTATTTTTGATTTTAAAATAATTAAAAAATGATTTTTAGAATTTTTTAAAATATTTTTTTGAGTTCCTTAAAAGAAGAATAATTTAATGAAAAAAAAATGTAAATTTTCTAATTTTTATATAAGAAAAAAATCAGATTTACTTCAACAAAAATTTAAATAAGTTAATTTTTAATTTTAATTTCATGAATTTAGATTTTGAAATAATTAAAAAATGATTTCTAGAATTTTTTTAGTTCATTAAAAGTAGAATAATTCAATAAACAAAAATGTTAATTTTCTAATTTTTATATAAAAAAAAAAACCAGATTTACTTCAACAAAAATGAAAAAATAAAAAAAAATATTTTTTAATTTTAATATCATGAATTTAGATTTTGAGATAATTAAAAAATGATTTCTAGAATTTTTATAAGTATTTTTTTTTTAGTTCATTAAAAGTAGAATAATTTAATGAATAAATATTTTAATTTTCTAATTTTTATATAAAAAAAAAAAACCAAATTTACTTCAACAAAAATGAAAAAAAAAAATTAATTTTTAATTTTAATATCATGAATTTAGATTTTAAGATAGTTAAAAAATGATTTTTAGAATTCTTTTAAATAATAAGATAATATTTTTTTTAAGTTCATTAAAAGTAGAATAATTTAATGACCGAAAATGTTAATTTCCTAATTTTTACATAAAAAAAAAAAAAACCAAATTTACTTCAACAAAAAAAACTAAATATAAAGTATCCAACTTCCCAATCATGCTTAAATAATTCCACCCTTTAACAATCCACATGAAGATCAAACTAACTTAAAGAAGTAAAAGACACCATCTGAGATAAAACCTTAAAGATACGAAAGTTGAAACAGAAGAATAAGTTGACAGAGTAGGAAAAACACAATCCCGGATGTCATAGGACATGGAAATGGTGAGCAAGAGTAATGACAACATGATCATTTAATGAACAATTATTATAAACATAATAATGATGATGGTTATTGATAAAAAAAAATATAATAATTGAAGTGATGAGGTTTTCTGTTCTGCAGATCATACGTTCTGGTGTTTACCTTTCATGCATCCGTATTTAGTATCAGGCACGAAACCAAGGGGACAGAACTTGCAGACGGGCTTGTGATCCTCGACGTAACAGGGGGCGTCAGCAGGGCAAGTAGAGTTCCGGCATGGATCCACACATCTATAGTTCCGGCAGGCCAAGTCCGGTGAGCAGCCACTGTCTCGTAGGCAAATGGACAGGGAAGGATTGCAGTTCTGGGTGCAAATGCAAATGGGACGATGATCAAGCACGTCGCAGAGCTTGTCTGCTGGACAGGGAGCCGATTGCTTCAATCGTGAGGTGCAAGGGTTCTGGCATTTTCCATGAATGCAAGCCGCGTTCGACGGACAATCAACGTCTCTAGCACAGGAAGCCGTGTCGGGAGCGCAGGTCAGTTCTCCGACGTCATTAACGACGAACCCGTGCTTGCAGACGCACATAGGCTGATGATCCCGGACCTGGCAGCGTTTATTCGGATCGCAGCCGTGGTTGCTGGTCCCGGTGATGATCGCAGAAGTGTTGCTGATGCTCGTCGACGTGATGCTGCTAGTACAGGGGTCCCGGCATTCTCCAGTCACGCCGTTGCACGCCAAAGTCTCTGGACAGTCTGCGTCTTTCTTGCAGCCGATTCGCGGCGGGCTTGGACGCGGGTATTGCGACTCACATTTTGGATCTGGCTTGCACGACGTCTGGGGCATTCCCACGTAACACTGCGGGCAGGTACATCGCGGCTTGTGCAGGACCACCCGGCACAACGCGTTCTTCCCGCAAGCGCCTCTTAGCAGGCATGGATCCAGACAGTGGAGGTTTATACAGGACTTCTCGTTTGGACACTCCGAGTCACTGGTACATTCTCGTTCTAATCATGGATTTCACGATTTATTTTATTTTTATTTGGTTTTTTTTTTAAGTTTTGCAAGTCATAATTCATTGTTTTTGTTTCAGGGTTGAGGATTGTTGCATTTAGGTGCCGGGTTTTCAAGGGGAGGAGAGGAAAAAAAAGAAAAAATAAAGCAATTTATATAGAATAAATGATGGTGATGGTGGAGAGAAAATTTCTCACAAATAACACAAAACCACATGCTTTCGCGTATTTATAGATCTCACTTATTGGCTTTTTTGGTGAGGTTGCTTTTGGGAGTAAGACAAAATTTTTTTCAACAAAGATTTTTTATTTTAGAAATATTTTTTGGAGTGAAACTTCTTTATTGTCGTATGGTAGAAATTTTTTAGCAATGTAAAAAAAATCGTCCTATTTTCGGTTACGCGCCTAGCAATGTTGTTTTTTTTTTTTTATCAAAGTTCAGTATAGCGACGTAAACAATAAATCTAGTAAATATTATTAATTTTAAAAACTAACTAAATAATAATTTGAAAATAAAACAAAACGCAATTAGAAAATAAAAATATGTATGGGGCATTCGACGCCAAATCGGACGGTTTCAAAAATTTAAATTTTAGATATTCTCAATTTTTTGGTATTTTTTAGTACCCCCCAAAAGAGGCCTTGTGATAAATTTTGAGATTTCTTTAGCATTTATTAAAAAAAAATCGAATTTTCAAAAAAATCGATCTTTTTTTGGTTTTTTGCTCGTAATTTTTTTAATAATGGTCGAAATTCAAAATTTTTCTTTTTAAATGCTCTTTTCAGAAAAAAAAAACATTCAAATTATTTTTCATTGAGATTTTTTAATTTTAAGTTTTTAATCGTGTTCTCCAAATTTTGTGTATCCGTCGATTTTTTTGAAAATTTGCTATTTTGAACTTCTATCCATCCTTCAACTTTTAAGCCCGGTCCGGTAAGGGTTCTTACATAATTACTATTTTTTATCGATTTTAAAAACTACAAATTTTTTTTTCCGCTATAAATTATTATCAGTATCGATTTTTCAACTTTGTACTTCTTTTTTACTTATAATAAATTGATTTTGATATATTTTTGCCGCAAATAGGAATCCTAAAGAAAATTATATGTCATAAAGAAGTTTCACTTCTTACCTGTGTACTCTAATCCACACACATATTTTTTTTTTTATAAATAATTTTTTTTTTAATTTTGTTGATAATATTTTGTCGTAAACCCAAACACCGCAACCATCTTAATTGTTCACTTTTGTTCAAAACAATATAATTTAACGCGACGATAAAAAAAAAAACAAAAAAACATTTTGAGCCGTATCCTCAGTAGAAATAGCCGATAGCGTATATTTACACACAAGCCCCCGGAAAGACTTTGAAAGTAGAAAAATAATTGGAAAAAATCACGGCACTGCGATTGTTCTTTAAGCATGGGTATACGAGAATGTTCTTATTATCCATATCCTTATTTTACCATAATAATTAATTTATATAAATATTTACAACATAATTAGGTATATACTTTTTTTTACATAAAATAAAATAAAATTATTTAAGGACCTAAGAACATTCTTCGTATGCTGTTATATGTGAGACACGCACAGGTGTATATAAAACTATGTACAATCCTAACAAATATATATACAAAAAAAAAATCTGGGCACAAATAAATAAATTGTACAGGCACCAGCTGCCTGGGTCACATCTGTCTCTCAGTGTTAACGATTACACTGTTAAGTAACTAATTAAAAAACGGTATTAATATTTTAAACTTTTTTAAATTAACACACGGTTATAAATTTTAATTAAAAAAAAAATCTACGCGTTAAAACTATAATTATGTCACAAAGTGCCGGATTAAATAATTTAAAACTAAATTATTAGCTAATTTAATAGATCAGTTGAGTACATACCGGTCTTGCATTCAGCATCTGGAGATCCAGTGGTACCTGGAGGGCATCTACAGACAAAAATGGTACCATCGCGAATACATTCTGCGCCCTTACCACAACCGATTGTTCTACAGTCAAGCGAGCTGCGATCAACGCTACCTAAATTTTAAAATTCAGATAAGAGATTAGAAACAATTTGATAAAATTAAAATAATTAAGGGGGATAGCCACTGTGAAATTAAAAAAAAAAATAATTTTTTTTTTTTTTATTAAATCTAAGTTTATATATTAAAAAATTAGTATCTAGAGTTTTATATAAAGCTGAAGTTAGTAGACACTTGAGAATTTTTTGATTTTTCTTCAAAAATAAATTAAATTAGAACTAAAAAATATTTTTAAAAAATTGCACTTATAGTTTTTCAAGTTTTTTACACATGAATTTTTAGAAATGAAAAATTTTTTTTTATTTTATAATAATTTTTTTAATAAAAAAAATTCTAAGAATTCTTACACGGAAAAAACAAGATGACACTGGATATCATCCCAGCTTATACGGAGTGAAAAAAATTTTCAGATAGTAGCTAGTATAATCCAGATTACAATGAGTATAACCCAGATTATAATGAGTATAATCCAGATATCACGTAGTATAATCTGGATTTTTTTTAGCTAGTATCTGAAAATTTTTTCTACCACAGATATCACTGAGTATAATCTGGGATGATATCCAGTGTCATCTTGTTCTTTCCGTGTAGATGTCGGTTAACTTAATTTTCAAAAAATTATTTATAAAAATCTCATTTATAATTTTTCCCGAAAAACCTATTTTTTCAATCTTCAGTGGCTATCCCTTAAAAAAAACCTTAACTTACATTCATGCATAGGATCACCAGCAGGATACTCCGGAGGACAGTAGCACTGAGGTTGGTTATTATAAACCCTGCAAGCAGCCTTGACCCCACAACTGGTGTCTCTGCAAAGATCATCATCGCAGATACAGACCTGATGAGGATCACCGTAGCATCCTGGAGCGCAACTGCACTCGAATCCTCCAGCAGTTTCGCGACACTTGGCATTAACACCACAAGGTCTCTTGAGACACTCATCAGTCCCAGGTTTGCAATTGATCTTCGGATTTCCGTAGTGTCCCGGCGGGCAGGAGCACTGAGCAGTGCGATCAACAACTCTACACTGAGCATTGAAACCACAAACTCCATGCTGAAGACACGGATTAGTGCAGACTCCATCATCGCTGCACCGCTTAGTAGGTTCACAATCCTCATGACGAAGACACTCCAGTTGGTAGCACTCCTGACTCGGCTCCCCTTGATACCCTTCAGGACACAAGCATACTGCGCGATGACCCGAGACCTTGCAGAGCGCGTTGATTCCACATGGAGATCCATTATAAAGACACGGATCTTCACATTGTCCGTTGTTGCACGACAGAGACGTAGGACAGTCACTGTGAGTTCGACATCCAGCTAAGCAGATTCCAGAATTGCAGATGTAACCCTTCTTGCAGGAATTGTTAGCGTCGCACTTGATGCGGCACTTTCTGTTATCACAAACTTCTCCACAAGCGCAGTTTTCGTTAACAGAGCAGCTTTTGACGCAGTAGCCGACCTCGTCGCACTCGCAGACTCCGTCGCAAGGAGCAGGAGACTTAGTACAGCTTATCAAAGCGTTTCCGTAGTAATTAGGCGGGCAGCTGCATTGCGCAGCATGATTAACAACTCTGCAGCCAGCGCATTCTCCACAAGCTTTACCTCCTTCGCAAGGACTCTGGCATCTGTTGTTAATACAAGACTCCTCACTAGAGCAAGCATTATCGCTGCGACATCCAAGCTCACAAATTCTATTCTCGCAGATCTGACCCGGAGAACAATGATCGTCACTGTTGCAAATCGCTTTGCAGACTCCCGCTTCGCAGCGTTCGTCATTCAGACAATTCGAATCGCTCCTGCAAGTTGCGTAGCAGGATCCTCCATTGCAAGTATGACCAGGAGGACAAGAGTCGCTGCAAGGAATGAAGTTCCGACGACATCCAGTTAAAGGATCTCCAACCAACGGAGCAGGACAGCTGCATAGCTTCTGATGATTTAGCATCGCACAATTGGCGTTTGTGCCACAACAATCAGGAAGACTGCAAGGATCCACGCACTGGTTGTTGATGCAAGACAAGTTTTCTGCACACTCAATCTCCGCTCGGCAACCTGCAAGGCAAACAAGACCTTCGCAGATCTCTCCGCTGCGACAGTCTTCGTCCTGGCGACAAAGCGCTCGGCAAATTCCTGAAGAGTCGCAGCGCTCGTTGCTCAAACAGTTGGTGTTGGAAGAGCAGACTGCTACGCAGGAACCGGCTACGCACGCCGCTCCTAGTGGACAGTCTCTGTTAGCTTGGCACGAAGGTCCTGGCGCGCGGAGACAAGCTATTCTAGCGGAAGGATTAGGCATGAATCCGCCAGGACAAGCGCAAGAAGCTCTTTGGTTTGTTGCAATGCAATTAGCGTTAGGGCCGCAGGGAGTTACGTCACAGGGATTTACACACTTGTTGGAGGCGCAAGCTTCATTGGCGTTGCAGTCTTCGTCTCCTCTGCAACCATAAGAACACATGTTGTTCAAGCAGATGTGACCTAGGAAGCAATCGTTGTCCAGTCTGCAGGTCAGAAGACAGTTTCCACGCACGCATTTCTCATTGAATGCGCATTGGTTGTCAGAAGTACAAGTTGGAAGGCAAACATTGTCCCTGCAGGTGTTTCCAAGGCTACAGTCTTCGTCTCCGTTGCAAGAAACTGGAAGTCTTACGCACTCAATTTCAGAGTTTCCGGTGAATCCTGGAGGACAGCTGCAGCGCTTGATGTGGTTGTTGACCTGGCAATCAGCGTTTATTCCACAAGCGGTGCGAACCTCGCAGGGGTCTAGGCATTGTCCGTTGAGACATCGGTCAGTCAGGTTGCACTCTTCATCGGATTGGCACGAAGGTCTGCAGATGTTTTCGTAGCAGTAAGTATTAGCAGGACACTCTGAAGAAGTCGAGCAGGCGGTTGGCAAAGGACGGCAGCCTACTCTGAGATCATTGGCGTCTCCATCATAACCAAGTCTGCAGCTACAGGAAGCTACGTGCTCTCCCGGAATGCATTCAGCGTTAGGACCGCAGCGGGTTCTTGAACAGACGTCAGTGCACTTGGGAACTCCGTTGATTTCAATGCACCTGGCAGTGATTGGGCAGTCTTGGTCTCTGAGACACTCAACCGGGGTTTGGCACCCGCTGTTGTAAGCGTCTCCTACAGTTCCTGATTGGCAGTGGCAGCGGTAAGATCCGCGGGAATTGGTGCAAACAGCGCCTGGAGCGCAAGGCGAGTTGAGGCAGAAGTCTATGAGATTACAACCACGCGTAGGCTCTCCGGTGTATCCAGGTTGGCAGGTGCAGACTTGCTGGTGGTTGTTCGTCGAGCAAATAGCGTTTTGTCCGCAAGGATTGTGCGCGAGGCAAGCTATCCTACACTTGTGCGAATCACAGATCTTTTCGTCAGAGCAGTCATTGTGGCTCTCGCACTCTATCGGCTGGCAGCCCATCTTGTCGTCGTAGGCGTCGCCGAAAAATCCGCGATCGCAAGCGCAAGTAGCTTTGTGGTTGTCAGACTTACAGCCTGCGTTCCTTCCGCAGAGAATCAGTTCGCAGGCTTGACGACACTCTGCTTGTCCAAGATTGTTCCTGATGCATTTTTCGTCGTACCCGCAGTCGTTGTCCGAAGTGCAGCGCAGTTCTTGAACACAAATGTTGTTCTGGCAGTACTGATACTCCGGACAAGTCGAGTTTGACTTGCAAGTCGGACGGCAAAGCCCGTCGATGCACAATTGGTCGCCGATGCAGTCTCTTATTGAAGTGCAAAGCGCAGTGCAGATTCCTCCGTTGCAGGAAGCTCCGGTTGGACACTGGCTGTCAGTCTTACAGTATTGAACGGGAGTGCATCCTAAATTAGGGTCTCCAGTCCCTCCAGGTTGGCAGGTACACACCGCTGAATGATTCAGCGAAGAACAATCAGCTCCTTGACCACATACATTTGGAACCGAGCAAGGATCCACGCATTTGTGGTCGAAGCAAGCATGAGAAGCTCCGCAGTCACTGTGGTAGTTACATTCGAACCTAATGCACTCAATTTTGGGGTTTCCGGAGCTTTGTCCAGCGCAGCGACACTCCGGAACGTGGTTCCGGACAAGACATTCTGCATTATGACCGCAAGTATTCGGAATATCGCAAGGATTCCTGCAGGTATTGTCAATGCAAGACGCGGAATTAGGGCAGTCATTGTCAGCGAAACAATCACCTGGAAGCTTGCAACCTAGACCAATGGGATCTCCAACGAGACCATGCGGACAAGAGCAGTAGAAGGAACCTTCAGTGTTCTGGCAAACTGCAGTAGAGTGGCAAGGATGGTCCAGGCATTCATCAACGTCCAGGCAAGTGTCTCCAATCAATCCGTACCCTGGATGACATTGACAAACTGCGTTGTGTTTCACTGCTATGCAGATTCCGTACCCGCAGTTGACTCTGTTGCAAGGACTGGCGCACTTGTTGCTTTCCAAATTGCAGTACTTGTCTTTAGGACACTCATTGTCTGAAAGACACTCAACTTTGAAGCATCCCGAAGCGTCTCCGATGTATCCCGACTGGCATTGACATCCCGCAACGTGATCTATCACCGAACAAATCGTATTAGGCCCACAATCGACGAGGCTGCAAGGATCCGCGCAGCTGAAGTGGATGCAAGACTGCGAATCCGGACAATCATGATGGTTCTCACACTGGTGCGGCGTCAAGCAACCTGTACCAACCGGATCTCCAGCAGTTCCTTGAGGACAGACGCACTTGTAAGTCCCATGAAGGTTGATACACTCTGCGCTAGGGTGGCAAGGATGTTCTTCGCACTCATTGATGTCCAAGCAAGTATCAGGCCCAGCGATGAACCCGTGGCTGCATTTGCACTTTCCGTTGATGCAAACTTCGTCAGCGCGGCACCCAGTGTCAGAAGTGCACCCAATCTCGCAGCTTCCATCAACACAAAGCTCTCCTGGCAAGCAGTTTCCGTTCCCGTAGCAAACTTTAGCGCAGTAGCCATTCTTGCAGCGTTCGCCTTGAGCGCAATCGTTCTTAGAAGAACACGTATACTGACAAAATCCTTTATCGCAGAAGTGTTGAGCCGGACAGTCTTCGTTCGAATGGCAGACGTTGGGGACTCGCACGCAACCTTGCTGAGGTGTTGGATTCCCAGAGAAGCCCGCAGGACATGAGCAAGAAGTCGCGTGATCGATGCAGTTGCAGATAGCGTTCGCTCCACAGACGTTTTCTTTCAGCGAACAAGGATTCTGACACCTATTATTGATGCATGATTGGTCCGAGGGACAGCTCTTGCTGTTGCGACAGCCCAGGATGCATGCTCCGTTGTGACAAGTCTGATCCGCTTGACACTGGCTGGGAGTAACGCAAGGAACCGAGCAAACACTGTTGACACACTTCTCTCCCTGCGCGCAGTCGTCGGTGGATCTACAAACGGCCCGGCACTGCCCGTCATGACAATTACCATCGTCACAGTCAGCTGAAGTGAGGCAATAATTAGTTCCACGCACGCATCCGTTCTGCGGGCCTTCTACCGAAGGAACAAATCGATTAACACATCGGCAAATCGGCTCGCCGTTTATTATCTCGCATATCGCGTTCTTCCCACAGGCGTCTTCGCAAGGGTTTATGCAGCGGTGGTTCTGACACACTGATTGCTTGGGACAATCTTTGTTGGAGACACACGAGCCCTCTGGTTGGCACCCAGAACCATAAGGATCTCCCACTTGACCAGGTTGGCATTGACAAACCGGAGAATCGGCAGCTCCTACCACGCAAATCGCCGTAGGATGACAAGGGTTCGGATTACAAGCTTCTACGCCCACACACTCTACATCGGCTACTGGATTCGCTTTGAAACCCGGCGGACATTGGCAGACCGCGCGATGGTCGTTTGCAATGCACACTGCGTTAGTTCCACAGGCGTTTTCTTCGCAAACGTCGTGACAAGTGTGACTAAGACGGTCGCACAATTGAGTAGGCGGACAGTCGATATTATAGACACACGGGACTGGTTTACATCCGTTTGCTCCATTAGGATCTCCGGCGTATAATCCTGGAGGACACTCGCAGTTAGCAACGTGGTTGTTAACCACGCAGATTGCTCCAGGCCCGCAAGTAACAAAGTCACAAACCGGGAGACAAAGTAACGCCCCGTCGTTGGAAGTCTTGCAGGTTTGGTCTTCTGAGCACTCGGAATCAGTAGAACACCTGTTTTGCCTAGCGCTCTGGCAGCCTTGCCGGTCATTTGGATTTCCTACGAATCCTAAGAGGCATTCGCAGGCTGCTTGATGATTGTTAGCGACACATTGGGAATTCAGCGGGCAGGTGAATGATTTGCAAGATGGAATACACTTCAGAACTCCCAAAGCGTCTGGCCTGCAAGCTTCTGTAGAATGGCAATCACTATCCGCGATACAATCAGGCACTGATGGCTTCTCGCAGTTTGAACTCACGGGATTCCATTCGTACCCATCCTGGCACTTGCAAGTCGCGTGACCACTTCCATCAGGTTCGCAGTGTTGGTAAGCACCACATACTACTTTACTACAAGGGTTGATGCAGTCATGGATCCCATTGTCTAGCAAAATGCAGAAGTAACCCTCAGCGCAGTCGGAATCTCGCGAACAAACTGGCGGAGCAATTGATCTATCAGGTTGGCATCCGTCCACAAGATTACTCGGATTTCCAAAGTACCCATCAATGCAAATGCAAGAAGACACATGATTCTGCGTCACACAAAGTGCATTAGGACCGCACTGAAGCTTACTACAAGCGTCTACGCACTTCCTCACGCCTTTTCCAACTTGGAAACAAATCTGCTGCGACTCGCAATCAAGATCATTGGAGCAGTGAGCTTTGAGATGACATCCTTTCACCAAATCATGAGGATTTCCGATGTATCCTGACAGACAGATACAATTTCCGTCCTGGCAATCAGCCTTGGGACCACATTGGGTGCTACTGCACTTGTTAACGCAGCTTCCTTCAACGCATGTGTGACTATAAGGACACGGAACTTCATTACTGCAGCGACAAGTCGTTGGATCCGTACAAGGTCCAGATTCGATAGCTAAACACCCAACGAAAGGATTTCCAAAGAATCCTTCTTTGCACCTGCAATCATAACTGCCGATGGTATTAAGACACACTGCGTTACTTCCACAAGCGTTTCCGCTGCACTCATTGATGTCATGACACTGAATATAAGGATTACCGGCGAATCCCGGAGGACAAACGCACTCAATCGCATTTGGTCCAGCGTGACAATTAGCATCTTTTCCACAAATTGAGTTAGTACACTCTGATTTCTTCTGAGCGCCACATCCTTGATAAGGATTTCCAGTTGTTCCTGGATTGCAAACGCACTTGAACCCAGCGACGTCGTACTCGCAGTGCGCGTTGTCTCCGCAAGAAGGTTCACATTTCGGAGGTTCAATCGGTGGCATGCAAAGCAGATCAGGATTTCCAACAAAGTAAGGATTGCAAACGCACTTATTGGTCTGGGGATCACAACTCGCGCCAATTCCACAAACTACGCCCTCGCACCTTCGCTTGCACCTTCCGCCAATGCAAACACTGGGTTCAGCGCACGGAACTTCAGGGGAACAGACGTCAGGAACACATTGGCCACCCGGGAAAGGATTTCCCATGAACCCTTCGATGCATTTGCAAGTGGGACCATCGTAAGAAACAATGCACTGAGCGCCAGCTCCGCAAACAAAGCCGTCGCATTGCGAAACGCATTCATTATTGTTCCCCTCGGTGAATCCCACGACACATCTGCACCAAGGGACGTGTTTGTCTGGCTCACAATAGGCATTGGGACCACACGGGACGTTATCACAAGGATTAACGCAGCTCCCTTGGACACAAGCTAGGTAATTCTCGCAGTCATTGTTGGTTGAGCATTCTTGCCGTGGTTGGATTCCACCAGTACACCCGGAACCGTAAGGATCGCCCACTGAACCCTTGGGACACTCGCAGATATGCCCGCCGCGATTGTTCAGGCAGTAAGCGCCGTGGCCGCAGGGATTGTTGATGCATTCGTTAACGTCAACGCACCCGTGCTGGGGATCTCCCTCGTAACCGGTCTCGCACATGCACCTCGGAGGGTCGCTGGGCGTGCACTTGGCGTTCATCCCACAGGGGAACCTATCGCAGGGGTTTTTGCAGTGATTTCCATCCAAGGCGTCGGTGTAGAAAGGCGGAGGACAAACGCACTCGCCAGGTTGGACGCATTTTTCATTCGCTTTGCATTCGTTATCACTTGTGCATCTTTTTTGCGCTGGAGAGCACAATCCATTGTAGGGATCTCCACCGTAATTGTGCGGACAAACGCACTCGTAAGATCCTGGACGATTAATACATTCGGCTCCGTAGCCGCAAACTTGACGACCTTCTGTACACTCGTTTATATCTTCGCAGGAGCCGTCTGGTTGGGTGCTGTAGCCTTTAGGACACGCGCAATAACTCACTCCGCCGGCTATCGTGATACACTCGGCACCCTTTGGACACGGTTCACCTCCTGAACAGCCCGCTAGCATACATTTATCATTTACGATCTTATAAGGCGGCTGACATTGGCACTCTATGCTGTTGCACTCCTCGCAGAGGGTGAACGGATTACCGTGGAACCCGGGCAAGCACTGGCAGTCGTAACTTCCTGGAAGGTTCTTACATATCGCGTTTACGCCACAGGGTGGCTTCTCCCGGTGCTCCAGGCATTCGTTAACGTCACGACATTTTCCGGTTTCGGGATCTCGGGTGTATCTCTGCTGGCAAATGCACACGTTGCTACCGACGAATTCATCTTTTACACACTGCTCGCCGGCTGGACAAGGCGAATTCGGACCACATACGTGGGGAACTGCTGTTTCCTTGCACCCGCCGTTGTAAGGATCTCCGGTGGTACCGCTTGGACATTGACAGGAGAATGAACCCGCTTCATTGTTACATACTGCTCCAGGTGGGCAAGGATTTACTGCGCATTCATCTATATCCGTACAACCACTCTTTATGCCCGGTTTACCCGTGAAGCCGTTGCTGCATAGACAAGTAGCTATGTCGTTTAGGATCATACAATGGGCGTTCGGCCCGCAAGATACGTCTTCACAAGGGTCTGCAATGGTAATTATCATAATATAATGATTATGTAGACATAAATTTACTAGTTTTTTTTTAAGTTATGTCAACAGGATGTGTTTATTTTTAAGAACATTGTTTCTCTTATTTTATTAGCTTGAAATATCAGCAGATACTTTATTACTTTTTTATTTTAATTCTAAAATAAATTATTGCTTAGAAAATAATTTAAAATAAATTCTTTAGTTCTACTTTTGAATTTTTTCTTAATAATAATTTATTTATTAAAAAAATAATCACACTAAGAAAAAATTTGGGAATTTTTGTGACAAAAAATTGATTTTTTGGAAATTTTCAAAAAATTTACAGATTTACAGTCTTATAAATTTTTGAAAAAATCATTTTTAAATAGACAATTTGAAAATTTTTATCCAAAATTATTTTTTCTTTTAGAAAATTTTCAAAAAGAAAGTTACTTTGAGAACAATTTTGATTTCTTCAGCTAAGAATATAAAATTGTTGAAAATTTCCAACAAAATTATTTTTTGTCACAAAAATGCTTATTTTTTTCAAAAGAAATTTTTTCTCTCAGTGCAGATGTGGTTATTATTTACATGTAGGCTCCACCATTTTAATTTTCATTTTTTTGAACGAAATTTCTATTTAATTTTATTGGTATATTTTTTTTTTAAATACACACAAAAATGAATTTAAAAAAAAAAAAAAAAGAAAAAAAAAAAAAAAAAAAAAACGATTATCACAATTTTAACAAATTTTCAAAAAAATTAATACATTTTTAAAAAAATTGTGATACTCAACTTTTTTTTTAATCAATTTTTTCTAATTAAAAAAATATAAAATAGAAATTTTATCCAAGAACATGAAAGCCAAAATTTTTTCCAACTTTTGAAGGCAAAAAAGCTATTGAAATCTTTTTATGACATTTTTTATCATAAATGCGCCGTAAAAACAAACAGAAATAAAATAAAATTAAAAAATGTTAATTTTTCACCTAGATATGGCCCAAAATAAAGTTGACCCCACTTGTAAATAATAACCAAAATTTATTTTAAAAAATGTGGGCATTTTGGTGATAAAAGATTGATTTGGAAATTTTCAAAAAATTTAGATTAAAAAAAAAATCATTATTAATTAAACAACTTGAAAATTTTCATCAAAAATTTTTTTTTTTAAATATAAAAAATTTTTTTAACAAAAAAGTTACTGTGAGAATAATATTGATTTCTTCAGCTAGTAAAATTGTTAAAAATTCCCAACAAAATTATTTCTTGTCTATTTTTTTCAAAAGAAATTTTTCTTTCAGTGCAGATGTCTGTAAATTTCAGTATAATAAAAAAAATAATAAAACTTACGTCGACAATCATTTCCAATATTAGGCTCAGGACAAAGACACCTCTTAGCCAGGTCGCAAATAGCATTACCAGGACAGTCAGCATCAGCTTCGCAGGTGACAACTCCAACGCACTTGGTATAAGGATCCGGATCAGGTATCGTGTCCTCGGGACAAGCGCATGTATATCCACCATTGGTATTGGTGCAAGTGGCACCATGACCGCAGGCGTCAGGCCTTGCACACTCGTCTACGTCTGAAATAAAACCGCAGATTAATCGAGCCAACTCCCACATAGCATAAGTATCATATCTAGATATTGCTTTTTAATATAATATAATAAAATAATAAAATATAAAATAATAAGTACCCATGCATTGCTTGAAGGCATTGCCAGAGTAACCGGGCTTGCACTGACAACTGAAACCACCAGGCGTGTTGGTACATATAGAATTTTTACCACATCGACCAGAAGGTCCGTTCACCGGGTCGCATTCGTCGATATCAACGCAACCAGCGGCGATGTCATTCGGATTGAAGGTCCAACCATCCTCGCAGATGCAGTAGGCCTCGTGTCCATCGGGTTTGCAGAAGGCATGCTCGCTGCAGGTAACTTCATCACATGGAGCTGAAAATCAACGGGATTAATAGCTTGAACGAGGAAGAAGACTCTCTTCATATAAGATCATGATCATGATCATGAGTGACTATTAATATGAGCTTCTCTGGTTTATATATATATAATATAATAAATATATAAATATAGAAGAGTGTGCATATGAGAGCGAGTAACTTCCTCATATCTCAACGTCTTATCGGCAATCAGTATCTCTTCGGCCTAAGGGCATAAAAATGCTATTGCATGCTTTAAGATAGCAAATAAAATAAAATAACACGGGTTTGCTCTTTTTAATTTATTATGGTGCCTAGTGTAAAGAGGTTGTGTGTAAATGTATGTACATGCAATGCAATGTAATGTACCTTTGCAGGGTATTTGCGGCGGTGTTCCAACGAAACCGGTCTCACAGGAGCAGTGATAACTTCCTCGGGTGTTAATACACACTGAAGACGGCCCGCATAGGTTCGTTGCGCACTCATCGAGGTCCTCGCACTCCGCTCCAACGGCCTTGAATCCGTCCTTGCAGAAGCACTGGCCCTCTATGCACTCGCCGTTGTTCACGCAGTCGAAGTTTGACTTACACAGGGTTGTTACGTCCGTCTAATTAAGTATTTTTTTATTTATTTTATTTTACCTTTTTTTAGGGGATCATTATGAATTATAACTGGCTATACAGCTGGTCAAGAGTCTTTATTTAAATTTACTTGATTATTGAGAGAAGAAATTTATGACCTTTTATAAATTAGAGTTTTTTGATCTATTATTATTGATGATAATAATCTTTTTGAAAATTTTTTACAATTGTATAATTAATTATGAAGAAATTAATTATACATGGTAATTTTAATATAAGAATTATTCAAAAGGGCGAAGAAGATATCAGTAGAATAATTTCTTCTTTCAAGCCTTTCATTAGATGAATTAAATTGTATTAATTTAAAAAATTATTTAAAAAATTGCGTTTATAGCTTTTTACAATATCTTCATTTAAAATGCTTTTTTATAAATTATTTTTAGAATTATTTATTCTAAAAAAAAAATTGTAAAAATTATAAAATATTTTTCGATTTTAGTGTCATATATTTTATACTAAAATAATGAAAAATTTGAAAATTTTTTTGATTCTTTTTCAACAAATAAATTATTTTTAGGAAATTATTTTAAAAAATTACATTTATAGCTTTTTAAAATTTTTTCTTATAGAATTTTTTTTATACTTTTTTTTGACATAATTTATCTTAAAAAAAAATCGTGAAAATTATAAAATATTTTTCAAATTTAGTGTCATATATATTTTTTACTAAAATAATGAAAAATTTCAAAATTTTTTTGATTTTTTTTTAACAAATAAATTACTTTAAGAAAATTATTAAAAAAAATTGCATTTATAGCTTTTTACAATGTCTTCATTTAAAATGTTTTTTTATAAATTATTTATTTTAAAAAAGAATGATAAAATATTTTACAATTTTAGTGTCATATATTTTGTACTAAAATTATGAAAAGTTTGAAAATTTTTTTGATTTTTTTTTTTAACAAATAAATTACTTTTAAAAAATCATTTTCAAAAATTGCATTTATGGCTTTTTACAATTTTTTTACATAGAATTTTTTTTATAAATTATTTTTACATTTATTTATTTAAAAAAAAATCCTAAAAATTAAAAAATATTTGTCATATTATATTTTGTACTAAAATTATAAAAAATTTGACAATTTTCATGATTTTTTTAACAAAAATAAATTTAGAAAAAAAAAAATTACTAGTAAAAATTTAAGACATTATTAATTTTTATATTATTTAACTGTTTAAAAGTATCATTAATAAAAAAAAATATTATCCTAGAAAATAATAAGTTACCTGATCGCAAGCAACCGAAGGACTAGGATTGGCACTGTATCCAGGAGGACACTCGCAAGTGAATCCAGGAACGGAATTTCTGCAGACTGCATTAACTCCACACGGATTGGTTGGTCCATTACACTCATCGATATCTAAATATCAATAAAATAATAAGTTTACAATAATTATGAAGAGACACAGCTAAATAGCAAAGAAAAATAAGTATAAGTGGTAAAAACATAAAATTAAAGATTAAAGTGATTATGATTAGTTTAGCTAACCAGTGCAGCCTTTGAAAGGGTCGCCGGTGTAATCCTGGTTGCATCGGCACAGGTAGCTTCCAAGTGTATCCACACACTCGGAATTATCGCCGCAGGGATTTTTCTCGCATTCATTAACATCTGTTACACACCACACACAAATGGTTAATTATGATCAATTAGTTATGCTAGTGTATTTATTATTTTTTTTATTGTTTAATGATAATTAGAATCGCTAAAATAAGTTTAGTTTTATACACTGAAAAAAAAAATTAACTTAAATCAAGAGAAAAATTCTTGAACCAAGAAAGTACCTAGTATTTGAACACTTAAAAAAATGGGACCAATACTTGAACAGACTTTTTGAATTATTGAAATACAAAATCCGTATATTTATTATGAGTAATATGCGCAATTATATTTTTGTTAACAATTATATTTTTGTTAACTTAAAAGTTGACAAGTCGAGAATAGCCGATAGATGCTATTTTTTTCATGAAAAAGGTACTAAACCGTAAACCGAACAATCAGTAAAAAAAAACGGTATATCATCATTTGAAGTAAAAAAATTGTACCACCCAATGAAATAGTCTTTTCTAAATAATACATATTTTTTGCAAAGGCATAAACTATAATTTTTATATTAAATTTTAGCGTCTAACTGTACCTCCAAATTTTCAAAGCGGTACCTAGAACTTGAACAAACTGGAGCCGCATAATTTTAACAGCACTCTAACTTCTAATAGGTTTATAGACTAGTGATAAGTATAGTGATTTATATTAATTATTGCAAATTAAATAAGTTTTATAGCTAAAAATTAGTGTAGTTAAAAATTATTGAATATTTTAAATTGAGTTTTTTGATTTATAATGAAAAATTTGTTTTGTCATTCATAAAAAATGTAATTGAAAAATTAAATACAAATATTTCTCATTTTTAAATAAACATATTAATAGTTCAACTACTGCTCCCGGAGTGTTCAACTACTACACTGAAAAAAAAAAATTCTTGACTGGAGTGTAAATTTTCTTGGCTCAAGAAAATATTAAGGAAGGTTGAAAATTTCTTGAATGAAGACAAAGTTTCTTGAGCCCAGAAAATTTTCTTGAGCCAAATAAAAATGTCGAAATATAAATATTCAATTATCTTTGTTATTTTATACATTAAAAGTAGGGTCAAAAATGTTTTACTTTGAAACCTGTTCAATTACTGGGTACAGTTACCTTAATGACTTTTGTTAATTTACACTGCATTTTCTTAAATATTGACGTTTTTAAAGATATAAGCTCATTCTGATGTTACATTCATCAAGAGCTTTTATTTGAGTACCCACATGCATTTTTATATATTTTTCATATATACATATATATAAAATATATAAATATATGAAAAATTGATGTGGGTACTTAAATGAAAGGTCTCGATAAGTGTAACATCGGGATGAGCTTATATCTTTAAAAATGTCAATAATTAAGAAACGAC